CGTATTTGCTTACAAAAATCGATTTTTTTTAAGATTGAATATTTCCACTCCATCGTTTTTTAGACAAAGTCGAAGAACAGAAATCAGGAGGAAGAAATTGCAGAAATTTCGAAAATTTTCAACTTTAAACAAATCAGTGAGCTTCACAATCGGAAAAAAATAACGCCAATCAAACACAAACATGACGAAAACTCACCGTAAAGCCAAGATCTGAAGAACAGAGCGGGAAATCAAAAACCCAGAAACTTGAGGCGAAACAGTCGCAGATACTACGAATTTGTCAATTCAAAGGCGTCATCGTCTCCGAAAAACACACGCACATGGAGGAGGCGGAGGAGAAGAATCTTAGAAGAGGCTTCAATGGAGGCAAGGAATCGAGGAAGAAAAGAATCAAACTCAGTGAGAATCACTGATCCCTAAGCCGCCTCTTGTGTGTGTCTTGTGTGTGTGTGTGTGTTTCGCTGTCTCCTTCCTTCGTTTCACCTCTCTGATGAACGCTTTTTAACTCTGATCTCGTAAGGACTCTGGTTAAATCCCTAACCATGGTTTGAGTAAATTTTTTCGCTAACTTATTTATCGGATAATTCATATAATCTAATACTAGTGACACGTCATTGTATTATTTTTAATTCTTCATTATTACAAGTTAAATTTTGTTTTGTTATTCCACTAGATTATGATTTGGTGTTGTCGTAGTTTTTACTTTTTTTATATACAAAAATAAAATAAAACTGATTCTGACATTTTAATGTCGAAGCTTAATAATTTATTTTGCTCTTCTTTACCAAATCTGAAATAATGTACTTATTTCTTTCTTTTGGTACTTTTTCAAAGGTAATAGTAATTCTGCTCTCATTTTTACCATTCCATATTTTTGTTATTGTAAGTTTATCATTTAAAGCAGGTCCTTTAAATTCTTTTTCTTTTTTGGTCGAATCCTTTGAATTACATCATTTTATTTCTTTTCTTCATTTTTTGCCAAAACATATTATGGAAATTAAACTCAAATATGAACTAGTGTGAAACTTCATTTTTACCTGTTAGTTATTAGATTCTGTTCATGATAGATAACAAAATTATAATCTTTAATTCTCTAGATCAGAAAATAATTAAAAAGTATTTCGAATATGATTGCACAAACTTCAAGATAGTAAAATAATGCGAAATAAATTAATTTATTGTCTATAATGTTCCTTCGTTTTTTTTATTTATGAATCACTACGGAGAGACGTGCGATCTCACCAATAAAGAGTTGAAAAAATGAAATTATATATCATTTCTGGAAAGAAGAAAAAAAAAAGAATAAAAACGAAAAAATAAAAAGAAGAAAGTATGTAAAAGTCTATGGGGTAAAATAATTTTTTGTGTAGTCAAAAAATTAAGTATATAAGTAAGAGTCATAAATTGATAGGTAAAAATAAAATAGTAAATAAGACATTCATTATCGTCCTCAGCTTTGGAAGAGTCTAGAACAGGCAAAAAGAGCCGTTCGATTACAGATTCCGATGGGACCTTGACCGTCCGATGTGGAGTTGTACGTGGCAAAGGATGAGAATGCCGACGTGGTTTTAAATGGATTTAGTGGTGACATGGACCTACGAGATTGGGCCTCATAACTGAAAAGCCCATAAAAATAATGATAAAAAAACTAGCTAGTGGGTGACTAAACAACAAGTAATTGAAAAATCAAGTTCATATTTTACAAATGATTTTAATCTTTGCATTTAACAAATACCTGACCAAAATTTGAGATAAACTAAAATACATTTTAAACTTCTAATTACTTTAGATTAAAAGATTATACAAAAAATGAATTTAAATATCTACTCGATTAAATCTTCAAAAATAATAACAATTTTAATTTAATTATGAGGTCCATTAGGTCTTGAATTAATAAAGCGACTGCAATGGCACTTTTAAGTCCACATGAAACTATGAAAGTAATAGTGAATCATAATAAATAATGAGATTAACCCACTTTGGACATAAAGATCTTGTCTCCATGATGCAAAATTCAGCTTTGGACACTTTTGACTATTTTAATGATTTTTATTTGAGCAAAAAATAAAGAGAGATTAAGCCATAAGTTAGAATGCATGATCGAAAACCATGTGCAGTAGTGTCTTCCCATTAACTCTACTACATGTTCATGGGAAATAATTAAAACCAAGTACAATTCTGAAAAACAAAAAAAAAAAATCACAATTAAGTATTACTGTGTTCTTTGTAGTAGTCTGATAACCGAGTTTGCCACAAATGATACAAATGTTCAATTTTTGATATATCAATATAAAACCATTTCTATACCAAACTTAATATTTTTTATTCCTCTAATTCATCAAGAACAGGATTAAGTAATTGATCATAGGCTCATAGCCCTATTACTCCTTTAGAGTCCAGTGACTGCAAATACAAAACACATAGCAACATCCGATCTCAACGTTGACAAAGAAAAGATAAGGGCACATCAACTCTCAAACACAACAGTGAAAATTTAAACTCTGTTTACCTTATCCACAAACTTGGTTGAATGTAAACACCGTTTGCTTTGTTCTTGACTGTGAAAAGAAACAGAAAAAATCCAACACTTGAATCTAACCAAGAATTGGCTTAAATTAAAGTGATAGTAGCATGTTAGAAACAGAGTCTTCAACAGAAACTCCCCCAAGAAAACAAAAGGGTAATCAAATTGGTTCAGAAGAGAGTGAATCAAACACAAGAAGCCTTGTTGCTCGTCTTCCTGAAAGGCTTTGTTTGTGGCACACTTCGAAGCCAATATATCTATGACATTTCTATAATGCTTGTGTTGTGCTAACAGAATAAATGATTCAGAAGAACCCCAATAAGTTTTTGTTTGGGCCAAAATTCAATAAGAGCCCAGTACCATATCGCACCCATGGTACAACTAAGCTTATGGGCACATTGAGCATGGGAGGACGAGCATGGATAGCCACTTTGAGAGGTGACATGTACAGTTTTGGTGTCGTCATGCTCGAGCTTCTCACCGGGAAAAGACCAACGAAGGTTTTCAGGCCAAAGGTGTCGAGAGAATTGGTCTCATGGGTGCATCATATGAGAAGGGAGGAGGTGGTTGATACATTGCTTAGAGATAGTGGTTATGAAGGAAAGATGCTTCATTGCTTAGAGATAGTTGCTTTTACAATAAGACCCCAAAAAAGCAAGCTATGCATTGCACACATACCAACGTAGACAGAGGGATTTGTATATGTTTGCATATATGGTTAAAACTATAGAGTTAATATTACACTTATTAGTATATGGTGGATCGTCAATAGAACTGGAAATTACTAATACTAATTTGGTTGTATTGATAGAAAATATAGAATTAACTGAACCAGATAGGAGACCTACACACAAAGCTTCAAATTTGCATGAAAAAAAATCTAAATTATGTTTCAAACTTTTTAAAAAAAATTGGAATAGTAACTAACTACTCAGTTTGAAACTAAATTACGTTTCAAACTTCACTGGTCTCTTTTTTTTGTTCATTTTAAATTTCTTCTTGTTTTCCTTGCATATTGCAACTAACTACTTAACGCCATAACAAGTCTATAGAGAGAGAGAGATTCCAAAAACTACAAGCAAATCAATGAGCTTCACAAGCGAACATGACTCACACACTAATCAACAAACAGATAAAAGAAAACTCACCAAGAAGCCATTTTATTACACTCTGTTGCATTGTTATGTCTAAGCAAATCTGATTGTTACCAGTAATCGCCACACGAGCATTTTCCATCTTCGAAGTGATGGTAACGGATCGGATCTCTTACAACTATGTTACGGTTCTCAAGCTTCGATGCGAGCTTGAAGAACACATGACAGTCTCCACATATTCTCAGATTCTTTCTGATCCTAACGACTTTCCCAAAAGGTAACGTTATCAAGCCAAAGGCCAAAGCCAGTTTCTCGCTGTGGTGTCTAAGAGAATCCTCCATCTGTTCTCCTTCAAGATCTTGTAGCACAAAGTTCGTTTCAGGAACATAACCAACGCCAATCATCCTATGCATCAACTGGTTCAGCTTCTTGTTGACTTCAACTATCTGTGGGTGAGATTCGTCTCCGATGATAAACGCATGGATCTTTTTGTTTACTTCAATCCAGCTAGATCCAGGTTCTTTCTTGATCCCTATGTCTCTCATGCGTGTCCTGATTTCTTCAACACTGTCCCATTTCTGAGACTTTGCATATATGTTTGACAACAGTGTGTACGTTCCTGCATCCTCTGGATCGAGTTCTATGACTTTTTTAGCTGCATATTCAGCTAGAACCATGTTTCCTTGAACCCTACAAGCACCAAGCAGAGTTCTCCATGTCACAGCATCAGGCTCACACTCCATTTCATTCAACAGCTTCACTGCATCTTCGAGCTTACCAGCTTTTCCTAACAGATCAATCATACAACCATAATGTTCCCTCCCAGGATCGATTCCGTAAAGCTTCTTCATCGACCTGAAGTAGTACCAACCATCTTCCAAGAGCCCCGCGTGGCTGCAAGCAAAGAGAACCCCAACAATCGTAATGTGGTTTGGTTTCGTCCCTGAAGCTTTCATTGACTCAAACAGCTTCAACGCCTCATGGCTATAACCGTTCTGTGCCAGCCCTGAGATCATAGTGCTCCATGTAATCACATCTCTCTCCTTCATCTGGTTAAAAACACAGCGAGCATCCTCTAAGCTCCCACACTTGCAGTACATGTCCACGAGCGCGTTGTTGAGTATCAAGTCTTGGTCATATTTCACGATGTGAACATGCGCTTGCATGCCAAGCTCCAACAGAGCCAAGCCAGTACATGCCCTCAACACGCTGGTCAACGTAGCCTGCTCCGCAGTGAAGCCAGCGCTCTTCATCCTCTTGAAAAGTCTCAATGCTTCGTCGCTTTTACTGTTCTGAGCAAAGCCACCGATGATTGAGTTCCAAACAATGGCGTCACCTGTAACCATTTCGTCGAAAACCGAAAGAGCATCCTCTGGCTCACCAAGTTTAGCAAACACATCAATCAAAGCACTCCTGACGTAAACGTCAGAGTCCAACCCTTCCTTGATAATCCCACAGTGAACCATTCTAACATCAGACAACCCGTTGCAGGATCTTAACACAGAGGAGTAAGTATACACATTGGGTCTCACACCTTCTCTTAACATCAAAACCAAAAGCTCCAAAGCTTTCTTGTGATGTTTGCACTTAGAGAAAGCAGAGATCATAGTAGTCCAAGAAATAACATTCCTTTGAGGCATTTTGACGAACAAGTGGTGGGCGTCATTCAAAAGATTGAATTTCACATACATATTGATCAGAAGATTAACCAGAAAGAGCATTGGTTGATTCCCGTTGGAGTATAAATGACGACAAACTTGATTCCCTTCATGAACAGCTCTCTGAGACAAACAACACTTGATGAGCTCAGAGTAAGTCTCGGAATCCGCCCAAAGACTATGACTTTGCAGAGAATCCATTGCTCTAAGAGCTCTGGGAAGGTCTCTCTGGTAACAGAATCTGGTGAATTCAGTAAGAAGTTGGGTTTGATCGGTGGAGCTGTAAGAACATCGCAACGTAAGGACTGGTCTAAGGAGTTTGAGCTTTGTCGTCACCGACTTCATCTTGTCCAAACATAAACTCCAAAAACCTCAAGTCTCTATAATAAATCCATGGCTCAGTAACTTCACATTGTGAGGTAATGGGAAGTATCATAAATGGGTTTTGATTAAAGCAACTAAATTCAAAGTTTGGGTAGAAAAAAAGGTAATTGCTTGAGATAACAGAGACAGAAGAAGAAGAAGAAGAGCCTATGATGTTTCAAATAGATACATTATAATTTAAAACAATGTTTCCAACATCATAGCAGATACTCAGAGATACATAGAACTCTCTAAAACTCTCTCAAGTTAAACTAATAGAGAGACATAATCATCTTTTGGATTAGACAGCTTCTGGTTGAACGAAAGGGTTCGCAATTTCTTCAGTTCCATCCGTTGGTGAGACGAGCATCACCGCTGTTCCACGGCAAACCTAAATCAGAGATAACACATAGCTGTTCAGAATCTCATGTCTTTTAAACTTCATTACAAAGTACGACGATGTCGAAATGTAACCATAAGAAACAGTAGTGTAAAAGAGGAAAGCAAATGAGTCATACAATCAAGCCGAGGCGTCTAGTCTGGTCGGTCGTCTTCAAAGGATCATCATGATCTGGCCAAACATCAGACAAGGGTCAATAACATTGTATATAGATCAAGAAGACAGTGTATCTAATCAAATTTCAATGACGTTCAGTGGCAGATACACACACATGGAAGAACAGAGTAAGGTGAATCGAATGAGATAGAGACAAAGATCATAATAATACTGTACAAATCATGGAGATCGATCAACAAGACCAAAAAACATCTGCTTTCACAGTAAACACATGATTATAACCTCTCTTCTCCGCTATCTAATCAAATGTATATGACATAGATACACATACAGAGTAAAGGGAATCCAAAGAGATTCAGAGATTATCTTATCTATTGGTGGATTCTAAGCAATTCAAAAAAATACACATGGTAATGCAACAACAAAAGAGATACCTCGAACAAATTCAACTGCCTCATCAAGAACAAGGTTAAGCAATTGATCGTAGCCCTTAAGAGTTCCAGTGACTGCAAAAGAAAACATCAAATCTCTCAACGCAAGTGTAAAATAAACATCTAAGTAATCATTATTAAATCCTTTTTTAATAACCTTGTCTACCACCGGTAAGCTTAACTTGTACACCCTTATCCACAAACTTGGCCAAATCCAACACAGTTTCCTTTCTTCCAGACTGTGAAAGAAGAACAGAGAGAATCAAAAACTCTGAACTTGAATGGACTCAATTCTCATATACAGCAATACTTTACATCAATGTAGGATAAACTTACCATGTTAGAGCAGAGTCTTCGACAAAAGTTTCCCACAAAAACCTAAAAAAACTGGGAGAAACGAAAATCACAAATTGATTCAGAAGAGAGACATGCTTTATACTTATGAAGAAGTTGAAAGATCACTTCGGGTCAACATTAGAGGCCAGCTCAAAATTAGGGTTTTTTGCAATTCTTTGTTCCTCAACTCTTAAGTGGGGTTTGTAATCCAATTAGGGTTTTACATTCCAGAAATTTGGAAACTTCACTCCATTTTTTTCAAGACAAATCAATGGAGTTTCACAATCGGGGAGAAAGAAAAGGACTTTAAGAAAAGAGCACGGCGAGGGGAAAAAAAAATGGAGAAATTTACGGAAACGGTAGCTAGAGATGCTTATCAGCAAATCAATAAGCTTCACGATCCGATATGATTGGCTTACTTTGATGAAGAAAACTCACCGGGAAAAACGAAGATCTGAAGGTCGGAGCGAAACAGTAAAACCCAGAAACCACGGCGAAGCAAAACGCAGGACGATTTTGTAAAGTCAGAGAAAATCGGAGGACGAATCTATAGAGACGCTTTTTTTTAACTCCCAGCCTTAAAAAAAAGACTGTGGTTAAAAAGTTCCACGTCACACCATGATAATTATTTTACCTTAACACTAGTCTTATACCATTCGGAGCATATTTTCTCTTCCATCATTAGTTTAACTTTAAAGTGATTAATTAACTAGACAAATTATAAGAAAAAATAAAAAAAAATATTTATAATATGTATACATTACAATTTCTAGTTCTGATCAGCTTCTCGAAGGCTCTTTAACCAAGCAAACCAACCCATAATGCCGAGGGAAAGACTAAAGAAGAAATGAAAGATATTAATTGTAAGAGAAAATGAATTATTACGTAAATCTGCAATAATCACAGCTTTACACGAATAGCAATCGAAGCATAATGTGTTTGCCGTATTGTTCCACGTCTTGCAATCTTCTTCTTCTAAGTTGTTATTATATCTTGAAACCGTCCAAATATTTGCTTTCTCGTATTTTAATCCACATGAAAGCGGCGGTTTGCAGCAACCCGACTGTTAATTAAAAAAAGAAAACAAATATTAGAATGATTCATATAAAAAAGAACCAAATATAAAATTGATTCATATTGACTATATTAGTTATAATAATGTAACTGTTCTTTCTAAAATATCCTACGTACGTACGTACCTGTATAGGAGTTAGATTCATCTGATAAAACTCAGAAGCCGTCATGTTTTGGTTAGAGAATAGCGTGTTACACACATTGTCTTTAACAAGACATCTCCTAGTACGATACCATTCATCTTCTTTGATGACCAATCTATGAACCCATCCCGAGTAGTCGTCGAACCTATACTCATGGATCTTCGTCCCAGGGAACAACCTTGGATTGGTCTCTTTTTGTAGACAGTAAACGAAAAAGGCTTTAGCCACGACCACGAACATCCACAGGAAGAAGATGAAGAAGTGGATTCGGAAGAGACAATCGGATTTGAAGTAAGCGGCGTAGAATCCGGTGAGAGTCATTGCGAGCAACGAGAAGCTCACGAAGATCCCTGGAGTTGTCACGAACCGGTTACATTCATCGGTCTTGTAATGTAATATCGAGACGGTTACGAACCAGAAAGCGGATGTGACGAGAAAAATCGCGTTTGCGATCAAGAAAGTTGTGTTGTATGGAAATGAGATATTCTTGAAACATGATAATGCTGTAGTGCTTTCTTTGTTTTGTTCTTCTTTAGCTCTCGCCATTATATCGTGTTATTGTTGAGGGTAAAAAAAACTGAGGGAGAGAAAGTCAATTAAAAAGGTAAATGAAGAATGATCAAAGAGTTCAATGATGACTTGTTCGACAAGATAAATTTAGGTTTTGTAGCTTGTAAATTTGTAATTTAAGGAAATACATGAAAATAGAAAGAAAAAAAAAAAAACTAACACAGAGCGATTGTCTGTTTTATTGTCTGTGTGTTTGTTGTTGACCGGTTTGGTCAAATGGTCCATGGGAAATTTCTAACTTCCCTAAAAATTCTTTTTACCATTAAATACATAAAATTTTAGTTTTCTTTTTATCAAATTTATCGCATAATAATATATTCCAACAACAAACTATTTATTTAATGATTTTATTTATATTTATATATACATATTTCATGATAATTTTGATACAGAATTATTATGGGAAATCCCCGCAACAACAATATCCCAAAAAACATTCTCCTATCACGCCATATTCTCCAATACAGAAATTGTTGCATTGAGACGTTTGAAATGCTTTCTCACATTTTTGAAAACATTCTGCTTCTGCATAGCAAAAACACACACAGGAAAACCCTTTAGCAAAAAAAGAAAAAAAAAACATAAACACACACACATTATGTATTTATAAAATCTTTTAAAAAACAGTATTTATGGATGTATTAATACACACAGATAGTAATATTTTTCAATTTTATCGATGTTTTCTATTGTTTTTTTATAAAAGTTAATTAATAAATAATAATAATAACACTATATATATATATCATACTTCCACCCATGGCCTCTTGGCTGGACATCGAAATAACTAATAGAACTAGAAGAAAAAGCGTAACTTTTGTGAAACCCATTTTGTTTTTCTCTGTAGAAAACAAAATAGTCTGTATATTCTCAGAATTTGAATAGATCTTATTTATAGAATTGATGCAATATCAAAATCAATAAATCAAAGTTCTTAATATGTATAATTATTATTAAAATCTGAATTACATAACTTCACAAAATAAAAATAAAAAAATATATTTTATATCCAAAGCAAAATTAGTGGTAAAAAAACCGTTATTTGATTTAGCTGATTTTTTCATTTTCTTTAAATATAAATAATCTTATTCTTTGTACTTTATTATAAGATCATTTGTGATGTAATATCAAAATCAATAAATCAAAATTTTTAATATGTAAAATTATTATCTGAATCTCAACTACATAACTTCACAAAATCAAAAGATTTTTATTTAATGTCCAAAGGAAAATTGGTGGTAAAAAGACTATTATTTGATTTAACTGATATTTATCATTTTGTTTAAAGATCATTAGTAATAGTTATAAAAGCTCATGTATTCTAATTTGTAAAATATAGAATTTATTAAAAATTAAATGTATATTTTTTTCTTTAGACTTTGTTTATTTTGTCTTTGAATTCATTAGAGGGATTCATTGTTTCTATTGATTTTCGGATTAGAATTGTTTGTGTGATTCAAACAAATCTGATTATCCAAGGACTCTGTGAGTCAGCCATCCCAAAAATTGAGTGAGTCAATCACAAGTTTCACCACCATCTATACCATCATTCACCAATTTCGCTCAATCTTGCCACTTTGATAATAGTTTGTTATAGAGATATAAAAAGTGATTCATAATTTTATATCATTTTAATGATACAATATCAAAATCAATAAATCAAAGTTCTTAATATATGGAATTATTATCAAAATCTCAACTAAATAACTTCACAAAATCAAAAGATTCTTATTTAATGTCCAAGACACAATTGTAATTTATTTAACTTGACTTATTTTTCTCCTTTTTAAAAAATATAAATAATTTAATTTAAATTTAATTTATTGTACATATTCTTTTATAAAAGCTATAAAAACTCATTTATTCTCACTTGCAAAATATATAGAAATTTTTAGAAAATTAAAGAGAAAGTTTTCTCTAAAGCTTTGGCTTTGTTTTGTTTATTTATGTTAGATAGATTTCTATACTTAGTAAATATTTGAATCTATGTTTCTTGTGTGTGGTTCTTTGACACTAGGTTTGTGAACTCATCACAAAGGCTTTCACACCCTTAAATGATATTCTTCAATCCACTATTGTTCATCCATCAACCATCCTATGATCCCATATGAGAGAGTTGCAAAGCCAGTAGATTGGATCCCATCTCATTCCACTTCAAGTCCATCAACTGATCCAATAATGAGAGTTGCACATCCAATTATTTGATTCATTAATTCACCATTTATAAGATCATCCCTTTGATCTTATACCTTTTGTAAAAGCTATGAAAATTTATGTATTCTTATTTGTAAAATATATAAAAATGTTTAGAAATTAAAAAAAAATTTCTCTAAAAGCCTTAGACTTTGTATATTCTTGTCTTTAGAATCATTGTTTCTATTGGTTTTTAGATTATAATTGTTTGTATGATTCAAATAAATCTGATTTTCCAAAGTGAAACAATCATTCTAAGAATTAAGTGAGTCAATTACAAGTTTTATCACCATCTCTACCATCATTCACCAATTCCGTCTAAACTTGCCACTTTATTAATAACAGTTTGCTATTAAAATCTAAGGAGTGCTTTAAATTTTAGAGCTGCACTAAGTATCACTAGTTTGACTTGTAAAAGAGTAAGGCAAAACTTAGAAGTCATGAAATCGATTGATGCTTGAAACAATCGCAGTCTAGAGGATTACGGACTTCGAATCAAAACATCTTAATAATTCAAAAAAAATTCAAACCCTATTATTTTAATTTCTAAATATTCTCAATATTCAAAAGTCTTTTTACATTGGTGAACAACATTATATTTTGGATAAGTATTACCATAAAATATAATTTAAATAAATATTACCATAAAATATTTTTGAATTGAACACGTATTATTATTTAACTTCCAAAACACTCAGTCTCAATATATTTTGTTGTTTATTTATTTATTTCACAATAACGTATATGTAGGATAAATCTTGTGAATAAAATTATCAACTATGTTTCTCCTATAATGTAGGATAATTCTCAATTAAAATAAAGTTCAAACATCGATTTTCTCAGCCATCATGTTACAGTGCGTGAAACGAAGAGCAAATAAGCTCAAACCCCAAACCAGAGTTTTAGGGTTTTGCTCAATTATTGTCGGCCATTATCATTAATTAAAAACTAGAGTATTATAAAAAAAAAAGAATTAACACGACAGATTCCGTTAATTACAATCATATCGCCAAAACTTGTTTCTCAATGCTCCCAAAGAATCTAACTACGATATACCAACCACTTAAACATCCTAACTTAATCTTAATTAATTGATTAATCTAACTAAAATATAATAGTTGCATTTAATTAAAATTTAATGTCTCATGGACTTAAAGGTAGAGACTTGTTGTGAACTGGCCGCCTTCTTCTAAACTTTGGATAGTCCATCGATAGATATTTCGATAGAGCTCTCTCCTCTTCTTCTTCACCTAACTTCTTATCTTCACTCTTAGATTTTCCTGAGAACAAAAGAAACGAGATTCTTAATACAAAAACTTAGTTTGAAAATTTCAAAGAAATGTCGAATCTTATTCGTTTTTCTTTTATATTTATTTAGCAAGTTGCTCCTGCAAATTATTGATTTTAATATATCTGCAACCAAAAACAAAATTCTGACGAAGAAAGCAAGATTTTTTTTTTGGTAAGTTAACATCTTCTCCTGACATGGTCAAAGATTCAGAACTTTGCTTATGAGTATTGCTAATTACCGGTTTCTTTTTAAGAAAAATGAAATGTCCGACTAAATATATTTTATACATCAAAAGGCTTATATCATTACCACATGATTGATTTACCTGAAGAAGTGTCTCGAAGTTGTTCACTTGAACCTTCATGAGCTGGTGACGTCTTCACCTGTTATTTTGCAAAAGAGATAGATGCCACAGATGATACTTAGTTAGAAACTTCCCATACAATTCAAATAATAGGAGTTTTAAGAGAGAAATATACTTATACATCAATCTCTTACATTTACATGTTCAGTAGAGATGATCATGAGCTTCCGTGGTGCCATTTTAGTTACAATCTTTTCGCTGAGACCTGTATCATTGTAACTAAAGTTAGAAAAACCATGTTTCTGTTTTGTCATACGCAAAACTATATAGACTTAGGATTTGGTTGCAGCAAATGGAGGTTGTAGACAAAATGGTGCAAACATATTGGTACTGGTGCAAACAAAACAATATAAATTTGATTTGCAGCAGATTGTTAGCCATTCCGAAAATAGAACGGACTAGTCAGTCACATCCTCTCCAAAGATTCATTAATATATCAAAACGTTTCGGTTTATAAAAAGAAACTTGTAATCACCTAGGCTAGGAGATGAGTAACGAGAGTTAAGTTGTAGAGAAGAGGTTGGAGTTAGAAGCAATAAGATGGATATTGCACAAAGCAAGAAAGTGACTCCAAGTAGCTTCATATTCTTCCAAATGATTTTTAGCTATGGGGAGCTTTTTTGTGATATCTTTCTTTTTCTTCTTCTTCTCTTCTTTTATATCAACCAAAAGGAAGCTAAGACATACACACGTATGTATATCTAACTATGTACCACCTATATTTATAAATAATATAGTAATGTTGTGTATGTGAGACAGAGAGTGCACAAAACACAAAAGTGAGAGTTCCAAAACAAGTTGAAGAAACTATTTACTATAAAAATAGTATAAATTTATTATGTCAAGGTTTTGAAAAGAGGTTCACGCCATTGAGGCTCGTTCTCGGGGTTGTCTGACTTGGGACAAACACAAGTTTGGCATCACACTTCATCAAACCCAATTTGTCGAGTCTTCGCCTTTCTGTCTTTTTTTGTCTCTTTCTCTCATTATATCCCACACGTTCTATATCTAATTATCTACTATATATTCTCCATTCACTTTTTCATATATATATATATACATTATCATCTTATACAAGATATATGTATGGAAAGAGCCCACAGTGGATAATCGTTGAGAGCCCTTCGTAAATTATTTTCATATATTGTTTTCGAAAATTGGTTCTACCATGTTTGAAACACAGACTGTGTTGAAATGTTTGGATGTTAAACTGAGTTAAATGTTTTGTTAGTGAATTTTTCGATATACCGAAAAGTTGTGTATACATTTATTAAAATACTCAAATAGTTGATGACTTTTTTTTACATGGAATTTTCTTCACGTCAATTATTTTCTTTTAAATTCTTATATCGTTCATAAATTTATATTATTAATATATGCGTGATTCTATTTGCGAGTAGGTATAAACAAAGTTGTTGAGAGTATCACATCATATTTGCCTAAACCCTTTGCTCTTTCTCATACTTTTTTGACATTCACACGCCTAAGTTACTTACTTGAAAGCTCTACCCAAATTGGGTGAAGATGAGAACACCACTTTCTAATTTGTTACAAAACGCCTTTGCTCATAACATCATTGCTCGTTATCACGTTTTGAAAGCGTTTCAACTCCAAACACTATAGTTTTACAATCAATATACGGCGTTTGGACCAAAAGCATGTAAATCATTCACATATTTTATATTATGGGAAAAACAAATCAATATCAGAACAGGCCACGTAAAACCTGTTAAACTTGTTAAATTTTAATGAGCTGGCTAGCATAACAACAACGTACGTTGAGCTTGTATTTTTATAATAATCAATCTACAAGATCTGTTAGGATCAGATTCGATTGTTCCATCATGACATTTCCAATCACAATCATCAACTTCGTGCAAGTATTATAACATATGATCAACAGATAAATAATCACTAAGGCACTAAATCAATTTCTGCTAAATAACAAATAATTCACATTCTAGCAAATCCCAAGAATTAAGTCATAGAGAAAACATGTATATGGGTGAATAGGTGATGACTAGTTAGTCTAGTATATGTCAAATAAATTGTAATTTGCTAAATATCATAAAGCTTTAAAAATTAAGTTCGTTGTGGCTCAATAATAATATTTTGGCTTTTGATCATTTTTTTTAACAATTGCATCATATATATAACAAAATTATTTTTGTCAATATAAAATTGTAAAATCTTGATAGCAACAACACAGCCGAGACAATGGTCTTGAAATGGCCGAGAGTCGAGACAAATGTCTTGGTACATGGAAAAGAGGTTGACCAAAGTCGCTGATACGTTTGACCAAATAACATTGAAATGTGGAAACTGTAAGATGAAAAGAAAACAGATTGTGATATAACCTTTTACACTTTAAAAGTAATCACTTAATTAAGCTAAACCAAAAGCATGTACATACACGAATGAAGAAGAAATTATAATAAGCTCATCGGTTACATAACCGGACCAACTTGCATTTGGTACCAAACTCATAAGCCCTAACTGTTAAACCCAAAATAGTACTACCAAAATGCCAACACACCAATGGCAAAACTATAAATCACCCAAAAAGAAGATAAAAAATATTTACTTCAGCATTAATATAAAATATAAAAGCACCCCTTTTAAAAGAAAAAATATTGTAAATTTGTCATAAAATCCTTCTTCTTCCTCTATGCTTAAAAGTGAAAAAGCTTTTGGACTAGTTGATCAAGAGAATCTACAGCAGAGAAGAACGTGTCTCCATCCTTTTTGTCTTCTCTTGTTCGCATTTGCCATTCTTACAGGACTACTGTTCCATTCTGATTGCAATCTGCACATAAAATCATCAAAACTCAGCGAAAAGTTTTCACTTCTTTTTTTTTAAGTTTCACAACAAAGAGAAGAGATGAGCCAAAAGCAATACATTGGGAAAGCGAAGGATCTTCCACTCGTTGTGCTTGCATCAGAACGAACAGAGAGGCTTCCAGAGAATGCAATTGGTCCCGAGTATGTTATATGACCTGAAATTGAAACTGCGTCTGCTGCAGAGAAACTCGTCTCCCCAAATCCGCTCGAGAAAAGTTTGTCTTCGTCGCAAGAAGAGTCTGCCACCAACAAGTTTGGTTGTTGATTCTCGGTTTCAGGCCTTTCAGGGTCTTTGCAAGCTTTGTTTGGTTCTTGAGAGGTTGCTGTAGAAACAGAGGAAAGCTTCTCCTCTGCTTTTTTGGGATCCTCTGTGTTCTCAAGCTCTGTTTCGAGAGCTGTGTCCTTAACCTGCAGTCGCACACACCAGCAAAGTTAGAAGCTTTTTGGATTGAAAAAATTGAAACTTTATTTAATGGTATTGATTGATGAAATGTATTGCCTGGAGCTGAAGTGGAGATTGTTGTTCTTCAAGTCTATCAATATTGTTGATGTTGTTGAGAGGTTTTTGTTCATCTTCCCTTGATAAAATATCTCCCAAAGTTAGAAATTCCTTTAAGACATTCTCCGATGTAGCCACTTCGTCCTTTGAATTCACATCAGATTCGATTTCATGAGAAATTTCCGACAGATTTAACATGTGCGTGTGCGCTTCCTTGCCTTCTCCTGTCACAATCAAATGCTCTTGATTGCAATTGCTAGAACCTTCAGCATCAGCAAAACCTTCTCTTGACGATTCTTCCACATCTCTGTTTGTCTTAGGATCATTTTCTTCCACATCTCTGTTTGTCTTCGGATCATTACAGAGCTCGGAATCATCATCAAGCTTACTGTTTCTGTCTTCCGATGACTTAACTTCTAAAGAATCCGAAGTTACTTTGTCTGCTTTCGTCAAATCCTCTGACTCGCACTGGTTTGAGTTTGAGCTACATTTCACAGAATCCTTCTCGCCGAACAAGAACTTCTCGTGGACCGGCACACCTTCATCGACGCATATATCCTTCACGACATGATACGTATTCTCCTTGTAGCAAACTACAATCTCAGGCAAGTCACAGGCCGTAACATTCTTGTCCATATAAAACACCGGATCATCTTTCTCAAGAGAATCCTTGTTTGCAGCAACATCCTGACCATTATCTCGGATTTTGTTTCCTGCCTCATTAGATTCTCCACTAGAACGGCGTTCCAAAGTGTTTCCACCGTTCTCTTTATCCCACTCGTCGCCGCTTCTTGTATCATAGAACAACTCACACACATTCTTGTTGTTCTTCCCATTTTCAGGGATCTTTAGCTCTGCATCTTCCCACTTCTCTTCAGGGCATTGATGAGGTTTAGAGTCATCTTTGCAACTCTGTACAGAGTTTTCAACCGCGTGATCGTTATCTGAAAATTGAAAAACCATCAGAAATCTCTCAAAGCTACAAAGCAGGTAGCAGTTGAAAATTCAATAACTAAAATATTTGAGAGGCAGAGATTTTTTTTACCTGCTCTCATTCTTGCATAAAGAGAAGAATTCTTCAATACACCAGAGCTATATCTTCAATAAACCAATCTACATGTCAAAGGGAAAAGCTATATCAAAGCATTTTCAAGCAGATGCATAGAAAAGAAACAGAGAACAAGAATGAAGTTGCAAAGAGAAGACAAGTATAAGGAAGCTTCATTCTAGAGGATGGAATCCATGAAAGTTGGTCTAATCTATCTATCAAAAGTTACATACAGAAGCAAACTCCATGTGAGTTAGATACAAGAGTTGTTCAACGAAGCAATGGGCCAGGTAGATTGTGACAGAAACAAACCAAGCTTTGAGACTAAATCTTCTACAGATACATTCATACATATGGTCATCAGTCACACATGTAAAAGATTCTTTTCTTTTTTCCTCAAAGTCCAAAAACAAATCATTATGAAGTCTAAACAGATGATAAAAAGATGCAATCAACCACTACCATGACCACTTTCCCATCTGTTTTTTTGCCAATGTAGAGAAAAAGACATTTAGAATAAAAGCTGAAATGCCATAATAATATGCAAGAAAGTTTCAAATATAAGCTGAATCTAGATTACTTGTAGCAGTTGAAATAAGATTTACAGCAAACGATTATATATGTTTACATAAGTGTGTGGCATAGTAGTACAAAGAATGAAGAATCTTATGCACTGTCATAGAAAGAAGAAAAGAGAGAGACAAAAAGGAGAAAGCTTTAAACTTTTTTCGCAAAGCTTACACAAGCCTTTGTTCAAAACAGCTACTCTGCAATCAATCAATCTCACTTTTATAAAAATAATTAAAATATTGGATAAGAAAGAACACACGAATTTTCTCAACTCTCTTTCACAGGAATATCAATAAACAATTGGAATTTGCAGGGCAGAAGAATCTAGAACTGAAATTCCCAAATTAAAAAGCTTCAAGTATTATTAAAAAAAAACACCCGATTGGTTCTAACAAAAATTTAAACTTGTGGAATATATATACAGATCTAATAACTAGAATCCAAATGAAAAGCCTAAAATTGAATCACAAAGATGAAGACTTTAAAAGAGGAATCTTTTCATAGAACAGTGAAAAGAAGAAAGACAGTAAGAAACAACAAAAAAAAAACTTACTTGATCACCAGATACAGAGACTCAACCTTCTTCCGCCATTAACTCTAAAACCTAAAAAAAACAGTCACATATAAGGGATCAGAAACTCTAAAAGGTTGAAGAAGAACACATACACACAAAAAAAATCTCGGATCATTTATAACAAAATCCAACCTTTGAGAAGATAAGCCAGATGTTTTTTGGCTGTGTTAAAAAAAAAAATCTTCAACACATGTAAAAAGGATGTTCAAAGGTCAATTTTAAAATCACTCTCTGCAATAAATTTGAGCACACAGAGAGAGAGGGAGAGGGAGAGAGATGACCAAAAGGGTGGACACACAATCTCTCTTTCTTCTTTATTGCCTTGCCCCTTTGGTTTCGCATTTAATTTACTAACCAAACCCGAAAAAATAAAAATTCCTAGCCATGGAAAACAACATTTAATGTCACCAATTAATTGGAAACGGTAATAGGATAATTAGCTTTTTTTTATAATTATGATTGACGCAAAAACAGAAATTTTCTTTCTTCCAAGTTGATTTACTTTCCGGGAAAAGATTAAAAACTTTATTGAATCATTGAAGCTTTTTTTTTTTTTTTTGTTAGCAGGATCTTAACAGTTTCCGAGAAATGGTAGGAAGTAGGAATTTTTAAGCAAACTAAAAATGCACTTACCAATACTTCTCTAATCTCTTCGCTTTCCTGGGAAAACTGAAAGCTTTCTCGGAGAATCGGAAACTCTTCATAATCATGAGATCATCAGCAGAAATCGTACGACATCGAAATACCCTTCTCTCTCTCTCTCTCTAGTGTCTGTAGTAAACCGAAAGATTGAAACTTATTTTTCTGGGAAAGATCGGATTTTGTTGGGTTTTCCCGGAAAATAAACAGCCGCTTCAAATGGGGGAGAAAAGACTTCAGCTTTGGAGAAATCGGATCTATGAAACGGCACCCGCGAGAGAGTAATTCTCTCTCGTGGATTTGACTTTTTATTTTGGGGGATTCAGATTTATAAAAAAAAAAAAAACAAAAACTTTGGGGATTTATAATGAAAACAAATAAAAAGTCAACTATCTGCCAAAGGATTTGGGTGAGGCGGTTTGTGTTTTGTCCCTTCTCCATTTTTCATTTATCTCTCTCTCTTTTTGTTTCATTTTTAATTTAATCTAATTTCTTAAAAATCTGAGTTTCTGTCCAATTTGCTGAGTTTTTAATTATATATTTATGCAATTAGTGGTTCATATAGTATCCCTGAAAATGATATATACGTGAGTTTGAAGTCATACCAATTTTCTAGAATCATATATCTCTTGTTGGCAATTTGTTACCACATGTTGTTTCTTATGATTTCGTATAACAGAATACATTTTTCAATATGTATTATCATAATAAAAACTTATATAGATATCTAGAGAAACAAGAAGTTTATTTCTTTGTTACGGTACGTTGCGTTACACCCAATAAACCAATTCATTTTAAAACTATTTGTTTAGGGATCGGGAAGAAGAAAAGGATGATTCTCGAAGCTAAACAACCACAGATTACGTGACAGGTGTCAACCAAATATTACCTGTGCAGCTAAACTAATGAAGTCGTAGCAACTGAGGAATGAAACAGAAAGCCGGTTTCGTCGTTATGTTATGTCTGAGTAGAAGAAAGCAAGAAATTTTAAAAAAGAAATAAAGAAAAAGGACAAAGCTGCGTACGTGATGGTGTTTTGTATGAATATGGTCCAGCTAATGAGTACCGTACGATCTCAGCTCGCGTCTGCGTGTGACAGCGTGTTTTTATTAACTGTTTCCCTACTAATCGACGGCTATGTTTCGTTGGCTACGTTTTGGACCTACGTTTTCATCTCCATTTAATGTTTTTAATAATAAAACAATAGTATAATTCTTCGTATGTACTATATGGTCTATACCTTTTTAGTTGTCATCAATTCTTTGTATAGCTTTTAAAATTCAATTTTTGTATTATATATTCTCTCCGTATGATGTTTTGAGATTTATTTTTGTTTTTAAAAGATTGATTTTCTACATTATATTTAATATATTTCCTTTTCCAAAACAACTTTTTGGGTGAAAAAAATATAAAAAAATCAGTATTAAATTAATAAACAAATAAAAAATATTTTAGAAAAATAAATAATTATTCTTTTCTTAATATCTGTGAAAACATCATACATCCTAAAATGGACAGAGTATTATGTTTATTGTTAAATACATTCATGAATTGTTTGTGCTCATTGTGTTGCCTTGTTGGATAGTTAATTGTATTGTGTGTAATAATTAATTACAAGTGTAGGAGAAAAGACTGTAGTTGGTTCATGAAGCTGTGGCTCTGGTTCTGACATAAAAAGAAGTTTGGTTTTGTTAGTTGGCCGTGAGCACCTTGGCGCACCAAAAGTTTTAGAAGAATGGTAAGTTTGAAATTGTATTTGTTCTTGGTTTATTTGGTTTCTAGTTCTGTATTAGTTTGAGTTTGTTAGAGTATTGTTTCTGAGTTTTCAATTTCTGTATCTCCTAATGTATCTTTCTGATGTATCCTTTCATGTGTTGAAATAAAATTTTCAGATGACAAAAAAAAGGAGAAAAAACTGTAGTCACTAACGCTTCCCTTGTTCTACAGAAGTCATGACCCAATTTCTTGTGTGTAATAATTGTATTTGATTGTGGATGGGAATGATTGTGAGCATTAGATCATGTCATCTATTAGTTTTCTTTTTTTTTTTCTATAAAATGCGCAGAAGTCACGTTATCTACAAATCTTCAATCCTATTACTACCAGATTCTACGTGATTTAGTTTAATTTTTAACTTACCGGATTTTTATATCACTTTTTAATGGATGATTCATATAAGTTTAGTAGTATTCCAAACAAAAGAGTTGAAAATATAGTAATTTATAAGAAAACTATATGACAAATATAATATTTAATTGAACCACAGAAAAAGCATTAAAGTGATCCTTTATCTGATTTTTCACATCACCAAATAATAGTTTCTCCTTCACTTCGAGGAAATGAAGAAAAAGAAAAGGCACTAACAGAAGTGCGAAAATGACCATTCTATAATTGTTGAAGTCGATCACTGGACGTTGAATAAAATGTTTGTGTTTTTAAAGATTTGTTTAGAATTTTTTTACAAAATATTTAATTTGAAACAAAAAAAATTAGAATGGGTAACTAAAAAAATATGATTATTAATAGCCTAGGACTTTTTCAAAAGCTGTCCCCATGGTCTAAATCTTCAGTGATTTATCTAAAAAAACATACGGTTACGGAATCATACACATTTCATGAGTTAACCAACTAAATTTGAAATTATAATTTGTGTGTGAATCTTCGGACGAAGTCAGAACTCAAACGAATTTCTTATCCAAAAACTCAAAAGTAAAGTCAATTATGACACTGACTAAAAAGATAGACAAAAGTGACAATTTGAAAAAAAGTCTCAACTATGAAAAAGAGACAAAAACAAAACTCAAATCAACTTCCGTTTTGTTTCCACATGTCTCCTGTATTGTCTTTTCATGTTTCGTTCTTCTTCCATTCAAATGTGAAAGTATAGTTTAAAAAATAGCTTATAGATAAATTACATACCATAATTAGGTGTAACAATTGAAAATAATCTAAAACACATCATCAAATGATATAATTGTGGATCAATAAACCAAAAACACAGATCTTAAATACGTTTAATGAGTGAGTCTCACAGTTTATGTGAAATCGTTTGGCTTCCCTACATTGATGTTCTCTTCTGCCAAGAAATCTGTAATAGCCTTCCTTTGCCATCCTTTGAAGCTCCTGCAACAAACAAAACAACTCTTTACTCGTAAATCCATGCGCGAAGATCAAGAACGCAAACAACAATATCTAGAGTAGAGTGGTTTAAGATTTTACTTTTGATCAAGATGGGCCAAGATCTCGCCTCCAGGGAATGATGCTTTAGTAGCTTCAAATGCTGCTTTGATCGATTGTCTCCAAGTTCCACCAATGTCACTCTCTCCGGGTTTTGGTTCTTCCATTGGTATTGAGTATCCGGAAAGCAAATGGCCTACCCAAATATCATCTTTCCTGATGAACGCAAACAAAATAAAAATACAATCAGACAACACACAGATTTAACGTTATGTTTGCAGGAAGCAAATAGATTCTTGACAACTTACAGAACTATATCCATGTGACGAGGAGCATAATGTCCACCTCCAATCCCTAAAAGAACTTTCCTCTTCCCGGTTTCACTGTCCACCAAATTTGATTCACGTAAGTTTATATATTCTTTCTTTCGAGGTAACGATGAAGCTACCATGGATATGTACCTGTTCCAGTTTCCCACAGCTTCACCGCCTCCAAGCCCAAGTCCTTCCCACATTAACTGAATCACATAAAAATAATGCTTTTACTAACTGAAAGGAACTTAGATATTGGCAAGCAATTTTACTTATATTAGAGGTATTCACAAAGAAATAACTGAACAAGTTGTTAATCAGATACTGATGATTAGAAGCAAAATTTACACCCAAAGTAGAAGTCTTTAATCCACAGGAAGTAACAAGAATCAAAACCATTTCAAGTACCAAACTTTTTTCTCACTTACAAGAGCAGGTACCAAACCATTTCAAGTACCATTTCAAGTCTTGACTAGCAAACTTTAAACCCAAATTAGAAGTCTTTAAAAACTACAGGGTGCAACAAGAAACAAGAACGACGACCTTATTTAACCTCCCAAAACCATTTAAAGTAACAAACTTTGTTCACTTACAAGAGCCATGACTTGAGCGGCGTCTTGCCTCTTCCAGTATTCCTCTGTACTACCTACATATACACAATAAGCAATGGTGTATAACAGAGACTCGACAACAAACGAGCTAAAGCATTTTGAATACAAGAAATGAGTTATATATTCCAATAAAGCAGAGATTTTTCATTTCAATATTCAGATAGAAAACTCACCGATCTCCAAAAACATCGTTGGCTTGCTAGTTATAGGTCCATGATGAGTACCTTCCAATGTTATCTACACCCACACAAACTTCGATTTACGTAGAAAAGCAAAAGCAGAATCTCATGAGGACACAAACACAAAAACAACAATACCTCAAACTCAGGAACTAAGTTATGAGCTTCAGCCATTTTCTTCAAAAGACGAAACCATGGACCAATTCTAGGGCTTGTCAACGCCGCCCATCCCGGCTTTCCTCCTTGCGGCGGCGATTCTCCTTCTTTCAGGTGAAGCACTCCTTTCATTTATCAACAACAACAACAAACATCCTTCAGAAAATCTCACACGGAAACAAGAAAACCCACAACGAAAGTTTTGATTTTTATTGTTGCATACCAATCGGATGAACAGTGAGAGCAGGGCGATTCGAGACGGCGGTGTGACGGCTGAGGAAGATAACTTCGTCCACAGCTTCACCGGTTGCTTCTTCCCACCGTAAATCGAGATCGTCTTCTCTCACAATCGATTTATCGTGTTGGATCACTCTCGTTTGCTGATTAGTGAAACTCTTAATGTCCTGCAAAAGAAAAATGGATCCAGAGGAGTTAATTTCAGACGAGAGAGAAAAGAAAAACGGCGGAGGGGAGTGATCGGAATGTTACCGGCGATAAAATGGGTCCGGCGGTCCATCCCGGCATGGCGAGAAGCGCCGCCGCGGGATTGATCGACGCTGGGTCGGAGGTGGTGGCTACGATCAGTGTCACCATCTCCCTCTTTGTCACTGTGACGCGACAAGTGGCGTTTAGAAGCGATTGGATACAAGTCGCGTTTGTTTGGAAGCTTATGTGCTTGTGGACAAAGCGTATAACGTTTCCGCCGCTTATTTTCAAAATCATTACCCTAATTCTAGCCTTTAACTTAACTTTTAAAAAGCTTTATAAAAATGATAATTTTTTTGTTTGGCAAACAAGCTTCTTGATATTAAATGAATTTTTTTTTGTTTGGGCATGATTGACAACAAACAAAATGGTTAGATCCTAACCGCTGATGAGTTGAAAGTTAAAACCAAAATTGAGTCGAGTGTTTGCCTTTGAGGAAAAGAAAATTCAAGTGGTTTCATAGAAAGGAAATAGTAAAAAATGATGCTACCCAGGATCGAACTGGAGACCTTTTGCGTGTAAGGCAAACGTGATAACCACTACACCACAGCACCTGATGTCTAATAAAGCTCTTTTAAATATATAAATACACATTTATTTATGTCGAATAAACCCCTTGGGACTTGGAGCGAGGGATCGGAGAAAGCAGACAAATGTTGAGTTGTTCATCGGCGTTCCAAAGAGTAGCCTTTTCGCTGATGGCTCCCAAATTAAAACCTCAACGACTCCATCAAAGTATGTATCTTATTACCATCTACACACACACACACACTCTTGCGCTTATGATTTGAGCGGTCTATTTAGTGTGAATTCTTAAACGAGGGTTTTTGGATTTTGGTGTAGTTGCAGATACTGGGGCTGAGCAATTGCTTAAGAAAGCTAGGACGATGAGTACCGGATCCTCCATGAAAGATGCTTTCTCTACTTACGCTGATTATCTCAATAACTTCGTTAGTTTTTTTCCTTCTCCTTTTATTCAATTCTCCGTTGAAACTCTTCGATTGTTTTCTGGGTTTTATTTGTTGTTCGAAAAGATTGAACCTTGCTTCGTGGGATTTAGTATTGCATGTTGAGATTTGCCAGGTAGTAGACTAAAGAGTCAAAATGGAATTTCGATTCTGCTGTTATGTTTGCTGAGAGTTGGTTTTGTGTATAGTTTTTTTGCAAAGATTGTAACTTTTAATAGTTCCTCGTTTCTTTGTAGAATGAGAAACGAGAAAGAGTGGTGAAGGCAAGTCGTGATATCACTATGAACAGTAAAAAAGTTATCTTTCAGGTTCACAGGTACCAACATCAAACCTCTGCTTTGGTTTTTTCATGTTTGTTGCTACTATAATGACGTTGCTATTGGGTTTTAACTATGCATTCTCTGTTTGTTTTTGGGTTACAATGTTATGTGGCAGACTCAGCAAAGACAACAAAGAGGAGGTTTTGGAGAAAGCAGGGAAAGATTTAGAAGCAGTGAGAGATCAACACTTTTCCCGGCTAATGAAAGAGCTTCAAGGGACTGATTTCTGGAAGCTGAGACGAGCTTACTCTCCAGGGGTCTGTGAGAGATAACCCATTGGATCTTTTGAAACCTTTTGGTTAACGAACTTAACTGATATATGTTGTGTGTTTTGGGTAACTTACAGGTGCAAGAGTATGTTGAAGCTGCAACGTTTTACAAGTTTTGTTCGTCTGGGACGCTCTCTACTCTCGATGAGATTAACGCAACGCTTTTGCCGCTTAGTGACCCTTCTTTAGAGCCGTTGCAGATCAACATCCTTGACTACATTCTTGGGGTATTTTAGACTCTCTTGGCTTTATGTTTATCCGTTAGAAGATTTTCGTTTCTTGTTCGGGTTTCTGAATTGTGGTTGATTGTTGTTATCTACTTTGCACAGCTTGCGGATTTGACTGGAGAGCTAATGAGGATGGCAATTGGTCGAATATCAGACGGTGAAATCGAATTCGCGCAGCGGATTTGCCAGTTTGTTCGACAGATTCACAGGGAACTTCTGCTTGTCGTGCCGCAGATGGATGACAGTTACGACATGAAGTCTAAGATGGAAGTGATGCTTCAGAGCGTGATCAAAATAGAGAATGGTACACACAAGTTTCCATATACACTCTCATCTGAGCAAATGTGTTCTCAGCATTGTTTCGTTTTGTGATTCATTTGTTTTGTTTATTAGCTTGCTTCAGTGTTCATGTGCGTGGATCAGAGTATATTCCGCTTCTTGGAGATGATGCTCCAACATCGTACCACCTATTGGGAAGTGCTGATGTTGAATGATTCAAAGTGAGTTTTTATTTATCCGTCTCTCGGACAAATCTCTAAGAACTTTGTTAAGGTTGGTCTGTGTTTAGTTACTTCTTGCTTCCTAGGAACTTTAAATCTCGCTTCTGCAAAGACTTTATAAATATGAATGGTTTATAACAAAGTGTTGAATTTCTCTATTGTGAAACGGAAGTTTTTTTTTTTTATATATAATAATTTCTCTATTACAATTGGAACAAAAGTCGATAGAATATTGCAAATTTTGCAATTTGCTTTCTTGATCTAGTATAAAAAGAATCCAGAAAGTACATTTCTTTTTTGGTTCTTGTTTGTTTGTGCTTCATGAGGAAACACCTCTAAGGCAAATCTTGTAGTTAATCAATGGTAAATCCCGTTAGTCATAGTCAATACTTTTTTTTTTTTTTTTGGACAAATGTCATAGTCAATAACTTTGTGTACATATATTCATGTAAAGAATGTCAATAGAAATCAATAATAGCGTATCTCTATAATCCTTAGTTTTGACATGTGTTATAGCATTCTAACATACACAAATATTCATATATAAATGTTTTGGAAAGAAAATAATAAAAATGGTCAATCATATTTATAGAGTTTCATTTTCATCATTCATTTTTTTCTTCTTTTTTTAACCAATTACCAAAACTTCTGTCTCAAGATATCCTATATATAGTCATGTGCTTATGTAGCATTTTGTTTCAATCTACCGTCACAAACTATGACAAACTCCAAAACCACTCTTTCAAAGTTATTAGCAGAATCTAATTTTAGCCAAGAATGCAAAGAGTTGCTCTCTTATCTTCCAAAAGACAGAAGCTTTTTCGCAGAGTATCTCTATCAATACCAAGGATTCTGGTACCCACCGAATCTCTTAGAAGGAGTTTTAAACAGTCAGAAGCATTTTCAGGCCAGAGATTCAGATATCATCCTCGTAAGCAGTCCTAAATCAGGTACAACTTGGTTAAAAGCACTCGTCTATGCTTCTCTTCACAGACAAGAACACAAAACTCCTCTAGAATCTCATCCTCTGCTCGACAACAACCCTCATTCACTCGTGCCCTTCATCGAAGCTTTCAACTTTCACACTCAAGATACGTCTCCTAGGATCTTCTCTACACACATGCCTCTGGCGTCTCTCCCCGAGTCCATTAGGGAATCGTCTTGTAAAGTCGTGTACTGCTGCAGGAACCCGAAGGACGCGTTTGTCTCCTTATGGCATTTCATGGAGAAGCTGACTCTCAAGGAGATGGTTGGGTGCACAATGGAGGAGATGGTGAGTGCGTTTTGCAGAGGGTCGAGTGTGTATGGACCCTTTTGGGATCATGCGTTAGAGTATTGGGAAGAGAGCCGAGAAAACCCGAAAAACGTTTTGTTTGTGATGTATGAAGAGATGAGAGAGAAGCCTGAGGATTGGGTGATGCGGATCGCTGAGTTCTTAGGATGTCCTTTCACAGAGAGAGAGATAGAGGATGGAGTCTTGGAAGATATCGTAAAGCTGTGTAGTCTTGAGAATCTGAGTAACTTGGAGGTTAATCAAAAGGGAAAGTTAGTGAATGGGATGGAGACTAAGGCGTTTTTTAGGAAAGGAGAGAATGGAGGATGGAGAGATACTTTAACTCCTTTATTAGCAGAGGAAATAGATAAAACCACTGAGCAGAAACTAATTGGTTCTGGTTTTAGATTCTTTTGCTAAGAATCTGCATAAAGTTTCAACTTTCTCTATTTATTTAGCTTTTTTTTTTCTTTCCATTGTTGTGATTGATTTTGTTGTTTTGATATCCATCAATACAAACAAATAGGGTTGTTTTGGTGGCCTTAAACTGTTTTTGAATCCAGTCTTGATTAATTCTTGTTTTTGATTTGATCTAAATTTGTTATTTCTTTTGGGACATCAAAGATTTATTAAGTCAATCCGTACGTATATTTTGATTTTTTGATACAATTGAGGATTAGTGAAATAAGGTTTTTTAGAACAAAAAAGAACGAGAAGGAGACTTTAACGTCATAAAAGTATCCAACTCCAACTTTTGGAAGTTTTTGGTTGAGAAATGTGCTATTGGAACGACTTACACTAAATTCAGATGTTATGAGGACTTTGTATCAGAGTGACATCATGATGTCAAAATCAGTACAAAGACAGGGAAGAGGAGACGATTATCACTTCTACAGAAACAAAGCATGTAAGACAGAGATTCACACCATTGAAACTGTAAGACACAAGCAGAAACAGATAAAATGTAGCTATACGTTTATAAACAAATATGAAGGTGCATGGGGAGAGCAAACTCTTGAACGGCCACTCTCATCGTGCTCATACACATTCTTGTTCTCAGCATAGAACCAAGCTTCAGTCACAGCAGGAAACACTGTTATATCATCACTACCAACACCAGGCATATCCACTGAATAGTAAGTACCTCCATCAACTGTTGCTTCTCCATCGCATAATACTTTCTTACGACCTTTCACCAGAAACGGATGATCCTCCACCTCCACGTATGTTCCAGATCTACCTGTCACGCATCCAGCAAAAACAGAGCATTTACATCAATGTATGTGTTGTAGGACCGCAGAGATATATAGTGAAGTATCACAATGGATGCTTCTCAAGAACTTCACCTTCCAAACTACATGAAAGACGACAAGGTTAGCCAAGAAACCAAGAATTTGATCTCTTCTCTTCCTTCAGACAAATATTTCATGGGTTACAGTCTCTACAACTACAAAGGTTGTTGGTACTATCCTAACACACTCCAAGCCGTTCTTGACGTCCAAAAACATTTCCGGCCACGAAGACATAATCCCCAAAGGTAGCACCACTTGGCTCAAATCCCTAGTTTTTGCCGTTTTACACTGAATATTGCTGAAAAATTCTGAGCACATTAAATGGAATCTTGTAAGAAGCTCAAATATTGATAGATTGATAATGATTCACCATAACGTTACATAGATGGCAGACGGTCATTGAATGTGAAGGCGACTCCATATATTGACAATGATTCACCATAACGTTACATAGATTATTTTTTGGGGGAACGATATTGAACTTGTTCAAAGAATCAGGCGTATAGTTGCAAAAAAAAAAAAAAGATAAGAGGGCATTATTGAAATTGTTTAAAATTAATACATGAATTTTTTTAAGGCATATGGGGGGCATCTGCGCCCTCCTCTCTTGTACAATATGGATTTGCCAAAGCTTTGTAACGCATTGTTATTATCTTGGTTTGATTGTGCAATCATATTGGGAATATGCAGCCTAGTTTCTGAATTGGTGGTAGCATATAACCATACGTTCCATGAATTGGTGCATGGTAGCATATAACCTAACGATGTCATGGCATGGTCCTATATATCACAACCGTTTAGATCCTGATCAACCACATGCAAACACATCAACAACTTTCAAACCACGTTTTCAACTCAATTACTTTCTCTCTATCTTGATTTATTAGTTGTGTTTTTATGTTGCCTTGTTCGAAATTTTAACTAAAGATGTACGTGTCCAAGATTCATATGTATCAGTTTGGATGCAACATGCACTCATGCACGTTAAGTTTAAACACCCCTTAGAGATTCCATCAAGTCGGTATTTTCGGTTGGAGACACATTCTGATGGGATATCTTCTCCCAAAAATACAGCTAAGCAGGCATATACATATGTATATATGTTAAAACTAAAGACATTTTACTTTTTTTGGTAAAAATGTTTTTTTTTTGGATGTTTTACACATATATGTTAAATCTCTCAGTCTCTCACAAGTAGAACTAATTTTCATTTTAAATGAATATGCATATAAAAAAGAAACGTGATCAAACGCTATCCTCATAAGGAAGCTATGCACTCACCAGCTTTGGAAGTTTTTGGTTGAAAGCATTTCCAACTTTATTCTATTTTCAACTCCAAATGCTATTTTGGAGTAAAATCTTCTCCAACACTATTCTATTTTCAATTTCAAAATAGAGTAAACCTAAATTCTACTCCATATTTGGAGTAGATCTAAACTCTACTCCATTTTAGAGTTAGACTTTTTTATTTACAAATTAATTCTTTAGATTTAAAATAATTATATTTTATATTATTTAATATTTATAAAAAATATTATAAAATTGATAATTATGAATATTTAAACACTGCAATTATTCTTAAAAAACTACAAAATATAATAAACTTTAAAATACATAATAAGTACTGAAATTAAGATAAACAATATAAATAAATTGAAGACAACAAATACTAAAAACATTAATGATAATTTTTTTAGTAATAGTAACATTTAAATAAAAATTACATATGATTTTTTGTGATGTTGTGTAATTTTCATTATTTGATAAATATTTAAGTTATAGTTTTTGAAAGAAATTATAAATAATAAAATAAATAGAATTTATTTGTAAATTTTGAAACTAAAAAGTATTTATAATAAAATCGAACAAGAATTTATTTAGAATATTCTTTTTTAGAGTAGAGAATGGAGAAATACATTGGAGCAAAACACAACTTCATTTTGTAATTACTCTATTTTGGAGTAAAAAATGAAAAAATATATTGGAAATGATCTGAAATATGTGCTATTGGAACGCTTCCTTATAAGGATAGCGTTTAAAAAAAAATTAGCTTTTTATATATTTAAATGTATTTTTGTCATACTATATTTTAGTCATATTGTAATATTTCAGGACCAAAATATATCGAAATAGTCGACGGATCTTTTACTTGAACAAAGAGGAATATAATGTATATAATTATTATATAACTGATTTAATAATAAAGAGAAAACGTGAGTGAGAGAGAGAGAACGAAGTTTAATATAGCTTCTTATTGATCTTCTTCGTGTGTATTGTTACAAAGAGAAGAAACACCCTATTTATAGGAGTTAATGACGGTGGGGTAAAATCTATAATGACAAAAATGAAAAATGGATAAACACTAATCAATAGAGACAAACACATTATTTCTTAACACTCCCCCTTGATTATCTATTTTTCTGTACTGCTTCGTTAAAACCTTTATCATGGAAAAACCCGTTTGGGATAAAAACTATGATGAGGGAAAAAGAGTGCAGTAACGCTCCCCTTCGAAATAACGAATCTGATCTTTTCTTCAAAGATCTTGGAGATGTCGCATTCCGATGTTGTGAATATGTTTTCTGAATGTTGTAGTAGGAAGCGCCTTTGTAAATAGATCTGCTGCGTTGTTGCATGAACGAACATATTGAATATACTTTTTGATTTTTCTCGAGCTCCTTTGTGTAAGAGAAAAATCTTGGGAGGATATGTTTCGTTCGATCACTTTTAATATAACCTTCCTTAAGTTGAGCAACGCATGCAGCATTATCTTCAAATATTTTTGTTGGCTCTTTCTTTCTTTCTATACCGTTTGCATCTTGTATATGATGAATGATTGACCTGAGCCACATGCATTCCCTACAAGCTTCATGTAATGCAATAGTTTCTGCATAATTTGAAGATGTTGCAACCAAAGTTTGCTTTTGGGAACGCCAAGAGATTGCAGTTTCTCCAATTGTAAAAACATATCCGGTTCGCGATCTAACCTTATGCGGATCCGATAAATATCCTGCATCTGCAAAACCAACCATACCAAACTCGGGGTTTCGAGAATAAAATAAACCAAATTCAATGGTACCTTGTAAATAACGGAATATATGTTTTATTCCGTTCCAATGTCGGCGTGTAGGAGATGATGTGTATCTTACAAGTAAATTAGTAGCAAAAGCTATATCAGGTCTAGTACAATTTGCAAGATACATAAGCCCACCGATAGCGCTCATATAAGGTACTTCAGGACCTAATATTTCTTCGCTATCATCACATGGCCGAAATGGATCTTTATCAATATCGAGCGATCTGTTGACCATCAGAGTACTCAAAGGAGTCGCTTTATCCATACTAAAGCGTTTCAAGATCCTTTTCGTATAATTTGATTGATGCACAAATATACCATCTTGGAAATGCTATATCCGGAGCCCAAGACAAAATTTTGTTTTTCCAAGATCTTTCATTTCGAACTCTTCTTTCATATGAGTTCTTGCATCATCAATCTCATTTTGAGTTCCGATTATATTCAGGTCATCAACATAAACAGCAATGATCACAAATCCCGATTCGGATTTCTTAATAAACACACAAGGGCATATCGCATTGTTGACGTAACCTTTACTCAACAAATATTCACTTAAGCGATTATACCACATGCGTCCGGATTGTTTTAATCCGTAAAGTGATCGCTGTAATTTGATCGCACACATCTCTTTAGATGTTGATCTTAATGCTTCCGGCATTTTTAATCCCTCAGGGATTTTTAGATATATCTCATTCTCCAGTGATCCATATAAATATGCTGTCACAACATCCATCAGATACATGTCTAAATTCATGGATGCTGCTAGACTCATTAAGAATCTGAAAGTTATTGCATCCATTACCGGGGAATATGTTTCTTCATAATCAATTCCCGGTTTTTGAGAAAAACCTTGAGCCACAAGCCTCGCTTTATACCTTGTGACCTCATTTTTCTTATTTCTTTTTCTTACAAATACCCATTTGTATCCAACGGGCATTACATGCTCTGGTGTTGTGACAATAGGTCCAAAAACTTTTCTTTTATTCAGGGAGAATAATTCTGTTTCAATGGCCATTTTCCATTTCTCCCAATCATGTCTTCTCTGACATTCTAATATGGACCTTGGATCTGGATCATCGCTTTCAAGCTCTTTATATACAGAAAATGAGAATATTTCATCAATATCTTTTATCTTATCTCTGATCCATAATTCTCCATTTTGGGCGTAATTGATGAAAATCTCATATTTTTCTGTTTCACATTTGTCTCCAAGACGAATCTCTTTATCTGGTTCTTCTAAAACCTTTTCACAAATGTCTTCAGGACATTTTTCTTTAAATGGTTCCTCTAGAACCTTTTTACTTTCTTTTCTCATATTCTTTTTCTTTCGGGGAATTTTATCTTTAGAATCCATCGGTCTCCCCCTCTTTAACTGAACTCTAGGTTCATTTGATATGTTCCCATCAATGTGTTCTTCAGGAACACTAATTCTGGATGAAACATTTGCTGCGGGGATATATAATTTTGTCCCTCTTTGTATCTGTGAACGCATCTGGTAACTGGTTTGCCATATTTTGCATATGTACAATTTTCTAAACTTCCATCTCACGTTGATTGGTAGGAGGACCAAGATAAGCCAAAGATTTTGTACACCAAGTGATATATTTTGGTGATTCTCTCAATCCTCCCCCTAACGCGGGGGATTCATCTTCATTAAAATGGCAATCGGCCAAACGGGCCGTAAACATATCACCAGTTACTAGTTCAAGATACCTGATTATACTCGGTGACGTATAACCGATGTATATTCCCAATCTTCTTTGTGGTCCCATTCTTTTTCTTTGGGGTGGCGTTATAGGGACATAGACCGCACACCCAAACACACAAAGATGGGATATGTTTTGCTCCTGTCCAGATACCAATTGTAATGGAGAATACTCATTATATGCACTTGGCCGTATCTGGATCAGGGCTGCTGCATGCAAAATAGCATGTCCCCATACATTAATTGGGAGCCTTGTTCTCAATATCAACGGCCTTGCAATCCATTGCAACCGTTTAATTAATGACTCAGCCATGCCATTTTGTGTATGAACATGCGGAACCAGATGCTCAATATCGATTCCCAATGACATACAATAATCATTAAACACTTGTGAAGTGAACTCACCAGCGTTATCCAGCCTTACTTTCTTTATAACATAATCAGGGAATTGCGCTCTCAACCTGATTATTTGGATAATAAATTTAGCGAAAGCCGTATTTCGTGTGGTCAATAGACACACATGTAACCATCTACTAGATGCGTCAATCAAAATCATAAAATATTTAAACGGCCCGCATTGTGGGTGGATCGGCCCACATATATCACCATGTATTCTTACCAAAAATTCTGGTGATTCATTCCCAACTTTGGCTGGTGATGGCCGAGTTACGAGTTTTCCTTGAGAACAAGCATTACATAAAAACTCGCTCATTTGTAATATTTTTCCGTTTTTCAACGGATGGCCATTAGAATTTTGCACAATCTTTCTCATCATGACTGAACTAGGATGACCTAACCTTTCATGCCAAACTTTAAATGTACTAGTAAACTTCTGGTTTACTGTAATATATGATTCAGTCATACTTATTTTTGTGCAATATAATCCAGAGGATAACATTTTCAATTCTTCCAATATATGTTTCTTCTCTGATGTAATGCAAAGATATTCAATGCCATTCTTATTCATAGTCTCTATATGATATCCATTTCCGGATATTTTTGAAACTTAATAAGTTTCTGTAAGACTTTGGGGGATATAGTGCCTCATTTATCTCAAACTTTGTTCCCCTTGGCATTAAAAAACTGACTCTTCCGGAGCCCATAATAATTTTTGTATTACCAGATATCGTATTCACGCTTTCAGCGGAATCACTTATTTTAAGACTGGAGAAATACTTTTTATCTTTAATAATCGTGTGCGTTGTAGCACTGTCTACCAGACATATTTCTCCATCCATAGTCTCAAATTCTGGCATTTTCTGAATTTAAAATATTCATAAAAGATGTATTAATAAATATTAAACACATACCTGGCAATACAGCTTATGGTACAATAGGACCTACAACAAAACATTCAAATACAGAAACATATAATACATCAAAACCATTAAGCTTTTGTCTTTCAACGTCCCAACCATCATCCTTTTCTTTCATTAAATTTGTCCAGCACACTTACTGTAAGTGGATTACTCAACATTCTCTCCTAGGAATGGAGTTAATTTAGTTGGACAAAACTGATGGTTTCTCATCACGAGTTTATTATATTAAGCTACCAGGAGAATTTACATCAACTCCGAGCTTTGGGTGAATTCTCTCATCTAGAGATTCAACCACTTATTTCCCAAGATCTTCAGGATCTTTACTCGTGATGGATTTACCATTTAAACCATCATGGATATGGTGGCGTAAAAAGATCATGATATTTGTCTTATTTCATCGAATATCGTTTCTGACATATCGATAATGCTCAAGAGATCATTTCTCTCTAGATGCAATTTTGCACCTACCGCCCAAGACATATAATTCTTTCCACACAAGTCAAGGATGGCGATCTCGAGCTTTGACAAATTATTACTCAATAACAAAAGCTTAATTTGTTAGATCAAAAATTTGAGCATAGTAACGGTATAATAAATGATAATAATTAAAAGCAATATGAGGAGGTAGAACCTACCATACAATTGCTGATTGCATAATAAATAAATAAACAAATATGAGAGTTTTAATCACCCATATAATAAATAAATTAATTAATTAAATGAATAAACAAATAAATAAAGATGGGGGTTTTAATCTCCTATTCAATGATCCGAGGAGACATAGTCTACCCTGTGATCATTTAGATCATGAAGGCATAGCCTACTATTATGATCCGCTCGGAGGAGGCAGAGCCTACCATCCCGGAATAACATATAAACGAAGAAGGCAAAACCTATCTTTCTGTAAATAATAAAATTTAAAATTAAATTAAATTAAAATAAATTTTTATCTTGCAAATGTAGATCTAACTTCAGAATATAGATTAAGAGACGCTGGTGCTGATAACTTGTTGTATATAATTATTATATAACTGATTTAATAATAAAGAGAAAACGTGAGTGGGAGAGAGAGAACGAAGTCTAATATAACTTCTTATTGATATTCTTCGTGTGTATTGTTACAAAGAGAAGAGATACCCTATTTATAGGAGTTAATGACGGTGAGGTAAAATCTATAATGACAAAAATGAAAAATGGATAAACACTAATCAATAGAGACAAACGCATTATTTCTTAACAGAACAGTGTAACTTCAGCGTCATAAAACTATCCACCTCGACCGTAAAGAGTGGCCCGTTTAGTTTGCTTTGACTTTATTATTAGAGCCGTGATTCTCTTTCGTTCGTATTATTATTTTTTCCCTTTAGATTAACTAGATATTATTTCTACGTGCTCTTCAAGTAAATAGATGTGTTGACTCTTCCACCAAAGATATAATGTTCTATTTTACTTGTAGAGGAATTTCTCAGTCAACACAAACAAAATATATATAAAAGCACTCAAGCATAAATAGAAAAACATCTAGAAGCTTAAATAGAAAAACATCTAACAGTTTACTTTCAAACGTTTTTTAAGATTGATCTATTCTCGTAACAATGTCATCATCATCATCTGTTCCTGATTACTTGCGAGATGATGATCTGATACAAGAAACAAGAGATCTGATTTCTTCTCTTCCGAGCGAGAAAGGTTGGTTAGTGAGCCGAATGTATCAGTTCCAAGGACGTTGGCACACAGAAGCTCTGTTACAAGGGATCTTGAACTGCCAAAAAGACTTTGAAGCCCAAGATTCCGACATTATCCTGGTCACCAATCCTAAATCAGGTACCACTTGGTTAAAGGCTCTAGTCTTTGCTCTCATTAACCGACAAAAGTTTCCAGTTTCATCTTCTTCTGGTAATCATCCTCTTCTGGTTACCAATCCGCACCTTCTTGTGCCCTTCTTGGAAGGAGTTTACTATGAATCTCCAGATTTCGATTTCTCTGAGCTGCCTTCTCCAAGACTCATGAACACGCACATATCGCATCTTTCGCTGCCCGAGTCCGTTAAGAGCTCGTCTTGTAAGATTGTGTATTGTTGTAGGAACCCTAAGGACATGTTTGTCTCCTTATGGCATTTTGGGAAGAAGCTTGCTCCTGAACATACCGCAGATTATCCGCTTGAGAAAGCGGTTGAAGCTTTTTGTGAAGGGAAGTTTATAGGTGGACCCTTTTGGGATCATGTGTTGGAGTATTGGTACGCAAGCCGCGTGAATCCAAACAAGGTCTTGTTTGTTACTTACGAGGAGCTCAAGAAGCAGACCGGAGTTGAGATCAAGCGAATCGCTGAGTTCTTGGGATGTGGTTCTATTGAAGAAGAAGAAGTGAGAGAGATTGTGAAGCTGTGTAGTTTTGAGAGCTTAAGCAGTTTGGAAATTAATAGAGAAGGGAAATTGCCAAATGGAATAGAGACTAAAGCTTTCTTTAGAAAAGGAGAGATCGGTGGATGGAGAGATACTTTAAGCGAGTCTTTAGCAGAGAAAATTGATAGAACCATCGAAGAGAAGTTTCGAGGTTCTGGTCTGAAACTCTCTTGCTAAATCTTGTTAAATCAATTTTTGAGACTTGTTGTTATGTTTTTGTTTTGTTTTAATGCTGTTTTCTTCAATTCTGCGAGTCTTTGTTTTTGTTGTCTGTGTTTTTGTGTTGTTCTTGTATGAATAAAATGAAGCAATGTTACTTCCTATTTTTAAATTATATGGAATAGAAATGTAATTGTAAAATAATGGTTGAATAAAATATATTCTTCGTGTCATGTTGTTTGAGACGAGCCCATGATGTGTCCATGTACTAACGACATTTAGCTGTCCAAAGCAATAAAACAAAACTTATACGTATATACATACAGTTTTTTTGTTTGTTATTGAACAGGCTATCAAACAAAAAGATGTACAAATCGGAATTGGCTTCTTTTTTTTCATCTATTAATATTAAACTAGATGTTTCCCCGCACTTTGTGCAGAATTCGATTAAATTTTTTTAAAAATATAATATAAGTTTATTTATAAATAAAAAAATAGATTTTATAATAATTCGAAACCAAATTTAATATATTTTCTAAAAAAATATAATTTTTATGAGTATATTATTTTTTGTGATAAAGCAAAATATATTATTTATATCATATTTTTTAATATCTTTTATATTATCTAATTAAAACTTATATATGCTTTTTGTTGCATTTATCAAACATGATAAATAATTATCTTCTTTTAATATAAATTGGTAAATTAAGATTGATGAAATTCAATGTTTGCATAAAAAAAAAACATAGCAATCCAAAATGATCAAAACCAAATGATCCTTGTTACATATCAACTTAACATTAATTAATATATATATAGCTTTAAAAAAGTTTAAATGATTTTGAATTTTACTTGTAGTCGCATAAATTAATTGGATTAATCAAAAATATTAGTAGGTTAAACAATCAAATTAAAATTAGTTAAATGGAATAATTAAGATTTTTTATTTTTTTTATGCTTGTTACCTTTTTTAGTAAACTGGATATTTTTATGATATAAAATCAAATTTAGAAATTTAAATTTTAAAAAAAACAAAAATTATTTAAAAATTAAATTATATTAATTTGTTAATTTTATTAAAAGTAATTAAAGTAAATTTACATAAAGGGTAAAAGGTAATCAACTATCATAACTCTTAACCACAGTCCAACTTGCTTCTCAATTAATAATATGATATCAATATATTATATGTATAATATATAAAGTAGAATAAAGGGTGAAATATAAAACCGTTAGAATAACAAGATATTCTCGAAATCTAAGCCAGCGGAAAAATTAAATATCCTCGGAATCTAAACCGGCGAAAAACAAAATTTTCCCGGAAACAAACCCTAACTCAAACAGAAAAATTTCATTAAAACATCAACTTAATATTAGCATTAAAATCTGCACAGCTTCAAAAGAATGATAATTTTACAGAAAATCAATCATAGTTTTGTTTCGATGAAAGAAAAAAAGCTGTGGAATGAGTCTTTTACGGATGTCAAAGAGAGACTCGCTTTCTTTATCGTTGTCGTATTCACTAACATTGAAGTCAAGATAAGTTTGGTTATGTCACTTATGTGTGGCTTAGGACGCACCCATGATTAAAACGCGTACAAACGGGAAACATTTGTCTTGTCTATTGTTTATAGTACATGCATGTGAGACCGGAGTTTCCAAAGCATCTAATCAAAAACTCTTTTATCTTCTTATATATTTCTCTTTCCCCTCTGTGTACACACACACGGAAAAAAAGTATCACAATGGATGCTTCTCAAGAACTTCACGGTCTTCACCTTCCAAACTACATGAAAGACGACAAGGTTAGCCAAGAAACCAAGAACTTGATCTCTTCTCTTCCTTCAGACAAAGATTTCATGGGTTACAGTCTCTACAACTACAAAGGTTGTTGGTACTATCCCAACACACTCCAAGCCGTTCTTGACGTCCAAAAACATTTCCGGCCACGAAACACAGATATAATCCTTGCTTCTTTGCCCAAAGGTGGCACCACTTGGCTCAAATCCCTAGTTTTTGCCGTTGTACATAGAGAAAAATACCGCAAAACCCCTCAAATCCATCCTTTGCTCTCACAAAACCCTCATGACCTTGTTCCATTTCTTGAGATTGAGTTATACGCTAGTCACCAAACTCCGGATTTCACAAAGCTTCCTTCTCCAACAATCTTTTCTACACACATACACTTGAACGCATTGCGTGAAGCCATCACAAAGTCTTCTTCCTCTGCTTGCAAAATCGTGTATGTATGTAGAGGTATCAAAGATGCTTTTGTCTCCGGTTGGCATTATAGAAACATGTTGCATCGCACCAAGATGGATCAAGCCACTTTTGAGAAAATGTTTGATGCATATTGTAGAGGAACTCTCTTATATGGGCCCTATTGGGAACATGTGTTGAGCTATTGGAAAGGAAGCTTGGAAGATAAGAAGAATGTTCTTTTTATGAGGTACGAGGAGATCATTGAGGAGCCTCTTGTTCAAGTCAAGAGACTCGCCGAGTTCTTGAACTTCCCATTCACCGAGGAAGAAGAAAAGAGTGGATCGGTGGAGGAGATCTTGAAGCTGTGTAGTTTGCGTAATCTGAGTAACTTGGAGGTTAATAAGAAGGGAACAACGAGAATTGGTGTAGATTCTAATGTATTCTTCAGGAAAGGTGAAGTTGGTGACTGGAAGAATCATCTCACTCCGCATATGGCGAAAACCTTTGACGAGATCGTTGAATGTAGACTACGAGGTTCCGGTTTGTCATTTCAATAAGGTCGTGTTACATTAACTTAAAATCGAAAATAAAATCCCGAGGTAGTGGCTCAAACTTCAGCAAATAAGGTTGTTTCTTTTTTGTTATATGTTCTTGGCTTTGAAATTTCATGTGTTTTCTTCGATGGGCTTTGTTTTGATTCTCCTTTAAATTTAATTTTAATGTAATTTGATTTGAAATTGTTTTGATGTTTTTTTAATAGAATCATTTTCCTTTTAGTGTATTTCTATTAACCGATGGATATGATTGTGTTTACAAGATTCTATCAACGAAAAATAATTATTTTAACGAGAAATAATTGACCAAAAAAAATTAAGGAGAAATATCCCATAAATGTTAATGTTAAGAAGATCACAGGTTTAATGAATGTTTAACTCAAATGAACAATGACTAATATATAGTTTTTGAGAAACAACTTAAGGTGGTGTGTTTGTGCAACTTAAACTGCTCCTAAGGTAATGTTGGAAACAAAACTTACTCAAACATAAGATCATCTTTACTTTGATTAATGATCCCTTTCATTATGCAGATAATTCCAAAATTTGCACTGAATATTGCTGGAAAGTCCGAGCACATTAAATGGAAGCATGTAAGAAGCTCAAATAGATAGACATCTCTGAGTAATGGCAGACGATAATTGAATGTGAACTGTGAAGGCGACTACATATATTGATAATGATTCACCATAACGTTTCTGGAACACTAGCTGTGTTGGATCCTGAAGCTAATTTTAGAGAGCCACACATTTCCATTTCAAGTGATACAAAGACTATTTTTAAGGGGAACGATATTAAAATTGTTCAAAGAATAAGAGGTATAGTTGCAAAAAAAATAAGATGGCATTATTGAAATTGTTTAGAATTTACATGAAAAAATTAAAAAGCATGTGGGACATCTTGTACAATGTGGATTTGCCAATGCTTTTGGTTTGATTGTGCAATCATATTGGGAAATGCAGCTTAGTTCTGAATTGGTGTTATAGCATATAACCATAAGCTTCATGAATTGGTGGATGGTAGCGTAAACCTGTTCCTAACGATCTCATGGCATGGTCCTATCACAACCGTTTAGATCCTCATCAACCACATGCACACACTTATTCTTTACTTAACCCGAAGTCTTATACATTTTTTTTCAAGTTAGTTTCAATCCACGTTTTCAATTCAACGTGAGCCTGTTAAGATTTCTTTTTTTGGATTATGTTGCTTTCACAGAATATTCTTCTATTTATTTGTGACTTTGTGTGGAGATCGAGATGTCAACAAATAGTCCAATTTAAGATTGGCTAACCAATATAAAGAAACATGCGACCGGCATGTACGCACTTATGTTCCCTTCTCCAATTTCAAACACCCTTCTCTATTTTCTAATTCCACTTTTCTTTTTCTCTTTTTTTTGGTTTAATAAATGTTATTCAGAACCAAACAAAAAAAAGTAAACTGCAATCTCATAGTTCTGACCGTGGCGAACTAAGAAGGAGGATGTCCTTGATTCTAATTGGTTAGCAACTAATCCACGTCAGCCTATGAGGTTTCTTTCACGTAAATATTCTCACTTTGTCCCTCTACGAATTTAAACTCCTCCTTTAATTCTTTTTGCTCCCAAAAAAAACACACTTTTTCTCACATCTTAAACAAAGAGAAAAGGCAATAGAGATTCTCAATGGCGATTTCGATCTCCGGAGCTGTGCTTAGTGGGTTGAGCTCTTCGTTCTTGATCAACGGAGACAAGAGAAGCGGCGTAGGCGGTGGAGCTATGAGAGTTGGCCAGAAGAATGTGATCATTGCACCTCAGCGCAAGAAGTCGTGGGTCATGACTGCCGTGAAAGGTGATGGCAACTCAAAGTCAAAGCTCGATCCAGAATGGCTCGATGATGCCTCGTAAGTCTATTTGATTGGAGATATCTGAGATATATATAGACACACACAAAAAGATGTCAAAAAAAAAAAAAAAAAAAAAAGGAAAAGTATATAATATATAAAGTACACATATTTGATCCCAGGGCATGATTTCACATCATTTTTAACTTTTTGTTAAAATGTTAATCAACGTGTAGTTCGTTATTTAGAAATCAGCAAAATTTTGTTTTAGTATCTACTTCTTAATCCATTTTTTACAGTTTAGAGGATGTTTGAATTTGTTATTTGGAATAGAAATGCTCATGTCGTTCATTGTTCTTTTTTTTTTAAATTGTCACACACACACACACATTTAAGACAGAAAGCATCCAGTTTCGTGTACGAGAAAGGAAGCGAAGTGGGACACGTGTCTGCAGAGAAAGGACAAGAGGTTTACGATCATATACAGAGCGCAAAAGATTACTTTGTTGAGAAAGCTGGTGAAGCGATGGACACGGTGGCTGAAAATGCTCAGAGAGCTTCGGATTTTGTGACGGAAAAAGCCAAAGAGATGGAGGAAGAAGCTGTTTCAATGACGGAGAAAACCAAAGATCTCGTAGTTGAAAAAGCCGGTGAAACTAAAGATTTCATCGTCGAAAAAACCGGTGAAGCCAAAGATTTCATCGTCGAAAAAACCGGTGAAGCCAAAGAATTTGCGACGGAGATGAGCAAGAAAACGGCTAAGTACGTTGGAGAGTTAGCAACGGAGGCAAAAGAAGCAATATTGCCACCAAAAGACGATGTACTGTAGATTGTGTTGCTTATACCAGTTCTCATACATATATGTGGAGCCCTAAAACAACTACAAGATTTGTCAACACAAATACAATATATTGAGGCAATTGATGAATATAATAGACTTAATTAAAGACTATAGTAGCTATTTTGGAGTATTAGTTAGTCCAATATACTCCAAAACACTCTTCTATAAGTTCTATCTATTCATAAAGTTGATAAAATGCATTTACTACTTGAGTCCACCATCCACTGCATGTATTTTGTTTGTATATGTTGGTAATAACTCGTTTATGTTATAACATTTTACGTTTAATCAGAACGGACAAACCAGCGATTCGAATCAGTTTGTGCAAGTTCAAATCGAATTAAATATAAAAATAAAAAACTACACAAACCCTATATTTAATTTATTCAATATATACATGTACGTATATATAGGGTTTGTTCATAAAACAATTGTACATTTCATTCTTAAAATTTGCTAACCATACAACATGCAACCGGCATGCCCCCTCCAATTCTATGCATGATCTCTTAACATCATTCTTTATTTTCTTCTTTTTTTTCTAATTTGTAATTGTTACTATTATTATGTTTTTATATTCAATTAAAAGCTGTGGGATAGTAACATGCGACCGGCATGACCCTTCTTCCGACGCATCCCTCCCAAAACTTCGACCTTTTAAAAACACAATACTAATTTTCACCACTTCTTACAAATAAGTTAAGTTAAAAATAAATTCATTAGAATTTAAAATAAATTAAAACAAAATAATCAAACTCACTTGCTATGTGTTTTGTAGTAGTTCAGTTCTAAAATTCACTTTGCTCTTCGAAGCATGTCGATGTTATGTTGTTCCCCGACGTATGTTTTTTTCCTACATTAAAAACTGAGTACACGTGGAGAAACGAAGAACGAAACAAATCGGATGTCACTGATTCTAATTGGTTTAAAATTTCATCCACGTCAGCCTCTGAGGTTCCTTATAAAAGATTCTCACTTTGTCACTCTAATAAATATTAAACTCATCCCTTTAACTCGATCATTTTTGCTTCCAAAGCATATTCACACTTTTTTAAAAATCTTAGAGAGATGTCGATCTCCGGAGCTGTGCTTAATGGGATGGGTTCTTCGTTCTTGATCAACGGTGGAAAGAGAAGCGGCGTAGGCGGTGGAGCTATGAATGTTGGCCGGAAGAACGTGATCATTGCACCTCAGCGTAAAAAGTTGTGGGTCCCAACCGCCGTGAAAGGTGATGGCAACTCAAAGAACGATCCCAAATGGCTCGATGATGCTTCGTAAGTCGTTTACTTGTTTGGATCATACTTGAGATTGACATAGTTATGGGAGATCGATTCGGACTGAATCAAAACTACACTCATATACTATAATTATAACATGAACATCAACAAATCGTAGTATATAACAATTCCTGAACCATTTGGTGAATATAAAACTACCAAATATCTTTTAGAGGAGGGAAATGATACGCATTGTGATCCATCATCCATTCACATGTATTTACATCATTTTTAACTAATTTTTTTTTTCAAACTTTTATTTTTTCTAGCTAGTTATTAAGAGATCAACAAATTTAGTCCAAAAAGTATTCTCTTAAGTTTAAATTTTATCGAAAAAGGTATTCTCTTAATTTTCTTTATATCCATCTGTATACATCGATCGTTTATAACACATAAAATTATAATTTTATTGAAAGAGATGTGTTAAAGTTTATTAAAATTCTCTAATAAATTGTTAAAATTCTCAATTATATACACATACATTTTGTATGATCTTGTAAAGTTGCATGGTGGAATTTATTTTATCTAAAATATTTACTCATCTGTTTATTGTAATCATTTTGAATGTTGTCACACACATAATATACATCTAAAAGACAGAAAGCTGCCGAGTTCGTGAAGGAAAAGGGAAGTGAAGTAGGACACGTGTCTGCCCAAAAAGGGCAAGAAGTTAAAGATCACATGGAGAGAGCAAGAAACTACTTTGTTGAGAAAGCTGGTGAAGCGATGGACAATGTCGCTGAAAATGCTAAGAGAGCTTCGGAGTTTGTGACGGAGAAAGGCAAAGAAACAAAGAAAGAAACCGTTTCAGCGACGGAGAAAGCCAAAGACTTTATTATTGAAAAAGCTGGTGAAGCCAAAGATTCGGCAACGGAGATGAGAAAGAAAACGGCTAAATATGTTGGAGATAAAGCAACGGAGGCAAAAGAAGCGATATTGCCTCCAAAAAATGAAAAATAAATTGTGTCGATTATGAGAGGCTCTCGTTTATATTTGGAATCGTAAAAAAATAAAGAGATTCAGGCAATAATGTGAACTTTTATATTGTGAGAATAAATTAATAATACAACTAGTATGATGAACTGTGAAGTTCTTAAATAAATACCTCAAAAAAGGGTTCTGAACGTTTTAGAATCATTCTTTCAACTAGTATGATGGACTCATGCCGAAAAGATGAACCCTTAACGTTTGCTATTTTTATAAAGTAGAGAACTAATAAGAATGTTGTTTTAAAATATATATATCAACGCATTAAAATTTCTTTCTATTTTTTTATATAAAAAAAGTGAAGAAGGAGAGGTATTAAAAGAGAGAGTAGAATTGGAGAAAGAAGAGAATGAGCAATATGGGAGTAACATGCGGCAAGCATGGTCCCTCCTCCTACGCATTTTATCTTTCACCCAAACATTTGACTTTCTAATTAAACATGTTTTTCCCCTTCTTTTATATTCTTTCATATTCTATTAGAACCTTTTTAAAATAGAAATATAAACACTAATCAAAACTCAGCTAGTGTTTTCCTATTCTTAATCGATTTCTATAAGTATGTTTATCGGAAGCATGTCAATCTGTATGCGGTGGATTTTGAAATCTCAGTCATCCAAATTCTTTCTACATATAATTTTTCACCTTAATTTTCTTGTTTTATTTAACCCTACATACTATAAATTAAATTTTTAACAATATTACTGAAATATATATATATATATATATATATATATATATATATTGATCAATATCAATTTGTTCACAGATTTACATTTACATGAATCACGATGGTTAAAAGTTGAAAAAATCTGATAATGTAGATGTTTATGGAATCTCCACCAAATTTAATGGAAATATTAGTGTGACATGTGAAACATTATTCCTTAGATTATGGTCCTTGTTAACTGCATAAGTGTTCATGTTCTTTGTTTCTGCCGTTATGGTTGGATTCCACTAATTCTAAACATCCAAAATCTTTGGAGTGTGTATTAACACGCATGACATATTCGGCCAATTCAAGAAAACCCTGGAAAAAAGTTAATACAACAACAAATCAACTCCTAATTACAGTATTTTTTTTTATCGTAAAATTATCGATGTAACAGTTCTCATAATTTACAATAAATTAATAAATTAGTGTTAAAAAAAATTTACAGTATTTTTTCAAACTGTAATACAACTGTGCAAATTAATATTTATTTCTCAAATCTTTGTCATATAAGAAAAAAAGAGTTGATTTCCAAATTTATTATTTATTTTTCATTATAAAATTAGGAGGCAGAACTATATATCTCCATTTTTTAAAAAAAAATTACTTAGCCACCACCACTTTGGCTTGACTCTACCGGATTCTAATATACATATTACTAGTTGTGACATATAACAACAAAAGATTCGAATTTATTTGATTTTTTTTAAAAAAACTGATGTATATTTATGATTTCTTATATTATCAGTTGGTGTATTCTATTAGTCATATATGCATATAATCTAGAATTTGAACTAGCTTAATAGTCACTGAAATACGATTTATATATCCTTCCAAAAATTGGAATGTTAGTTGGTCAAAAACTCATCAATTTGTTTCTTATATATCCTTTCAAAAATTGGACTGTAGTTGGTCAAAAACTCATCAATTTGTTTCTAATAACCCAAAGGATTGCCTGTAATTTAGTAGCCAATTAAAAGAAATCTCCTAAACCGGAGATAGAAGCAGAACCATTTGCCTGTAATATAGTAGCCAAATCAAGAGAAATCTCCTAAACCGGAGATAGAAAGAGAACAATTTGCCTCTAATTTAGTAGCCAATTAAGAGAAATCTCCTAAACCGGAGAAAGAAACAGAACCATCTGCCTGTAATTTACTAGCCAATTAAACGAAGTCTCCTAAACCGGAGATGGAAACAGAACAATTTGCCTGTAATTGACTACCAAATCAAGAGGAAATCTCCAAACCGGTGACCGGTCAAATCTACTCTGAAAGCGAAGGGCGGCTGCTAAAATGCGCCCGAGTGCATTTATGAGTAGACTCCTCCTCAAATCCTCTGCACACTCATGAGAAAACAAATTAGGGACAAAATTTCAATTTGTGGACTCTTTCTTTGCAGGTTCTGAGGAGAATCGTGTCGGCTGAATTTGTGTCAGACACAGAGCAATAGAGCATAGTGTGAGTAAATATATTTTCCAATTGGATCTCACTCCGTTTTCCACAGCTTTATTTATTTATAATCTCTTTCCAAATTTATATATCTTTTTTCTTCCTCTTCTTTCTTTCCTTCTGTGTATATATATAAATTAACAACTTTCTTGTGATTTTTCCTCTCTCTGGCAATTGCAATTGCAAAGTCGTCTTCTTCTTCTACCGGAGAGATATCTCGATCATCTATAGAAAGGGAGAATAAATCAATTTCCCCCTTTTGGATATCTTCCTCCTTCTTGCTAGCGCGAAGATCTTTTACACAGAACGAATCGAAAATGGGTTTGTTACTATTCTCTGTTTTTCATTTTTTTCCTCTGATTCGGTTTCAGTTTGATGATTGATTGATCAGAATTAGTTTCCCAAACTGGGTTTTCTTCAATTTTAGGTTTTGCTTCGTTTGTAATCGTTCTAGGTTTAGTCTCTGTTTCTTTTAAGGGTTTTCGTTGATATTTTTTTCCGATTGATATGTTAACTTGTAGGATTTGGTTGAATCTATTGGGTTTGGATTCGTGTTGATATCAGATTAATTGGGTTTTTTTGTTCTTTCAGATGTTTGCTTGAGCTATTCATATCAAATGGATGATGAGATTGCAAAGTTCATCAAAAGAGTGAATCCGCCAAGGTATTGACTAACTTCGAATCTCTCATAGTTTTGATTCCATTTCAATTACACGAATTGGGTTTAATTTGATTATTCTCTCATTTAGGGTTGTGATCGATAACGATGTCTGCAAGAACGTCACTGTCATTAAGGTACCTTTGAAATTTTCTCTGAGATTGAATTTTTCATCAGATTAGGTTTTGATTCAGTTGAAAAAAAAAAGATGTTAAGAAACATTGTGATTTGTGTTGCTTTTAGGTGGATAGTGCGAATAAACATGGGATTCTTCTGGAAGTTGTTCAAGTGTTGACTGATCTTAATCTCACCATTAAGAAAGCTTACATCTCCTCTGATGGTGGCTGGTTCATGGATGTTTTCAACGTTACTGATCAAGATGGTAACAAAGTCACCGACGAAATCGTTCTTGAATACATCCGTAAAGTAAGTATAAAGCGTTGAACTTTCTTGTATTCCATTTCAGTTTAGTGATATGATTCATTAACCTCTTTGTGGTGTGTGATTGTTTGCAGTCTCTTGGCCCTGATGAGTCTTCTTGCTTCAGTCCGTCAATGAGATCAACCATCGGTGTTAAACAATCTGTCGACTTCACTGTGATTGAGCTAACGGGAACCGACAGGCCCGGTTTGTTGTCTGAGCTATGCGCTGTTCTAATGGACCTTCAATGCAATGTGGTCAACGCTGAGATCTGGACACATAGAGCCAAAGCAGCAGCGGTTTTACAAGTGACCGACGAAGAGACCTGCTCTGCGGTCACCGATCCAGAGAGGTTATCCAAAATCAGGAAGCTTCTTGGTTATGTGCTTACAGGTGGAAGCAGTAGCAGAAGAAGGTCCCGTGAACCTAAGACCACGGTTTCTTCTTCTCTCAACGAGACTTACGCGGATCGTAAGCTTCATCAACTGATGTTTGCGGATAGAGATTACGACGAATGGGAGAATAATACTGATGATGAGGATAAAAGCGGGAGAGTGATTCCTGATGTGGATGTATCCAACTTGCATGATCTGGATTACTCGATTGTGATGATCAAATGTAAAGATAGACCAAAGCTTCTCTTCGATACCGTCTTCACTTTGACGGATATGAAATATGTGGTTTCACATGCCAGCATTGATGCTGAAGGCCCTGAAGCTTATCAGGTATATATATATATACTTACACACTTAAGGCTCTGTGCAAGATGCTCTTGGGTCTAAACTCTTGACCTAATATTTAATTCTCGCTGTTTTTTTTTCAGGAATACTACATAAGACATACGGATGGATCTCCAGTGAAATCAGAGGCAGAAAGACAGCGAGTGATCAAATGTCTTAAAGCAGCTATTCAAAGAAGAGTCTCTGAGGTATAAACATTGTTGTGATTTTCTTGAAGAAGAATCATAAGAATGTTGTTGTTGTTGTTGTTGTGTCACAACTTGTGTGGCTTGTGGCTTAAGATTTTATTCTTGTTTCTATGTTCTTAGGGATTGAAGCTTGAGCTTTGCACTTCAGATAGAGTCGGGTTACTCTCTGATGTGACTCGGATTTTCCGTGAAAACAGTCTTACGGTGACAAGAGCTGAAGTGAAAACGAAAGGAGGTAAAGCTCTCAACACATTCTATGTAAGGGATGCTTCTGGTTACGAAGTTGATGCAAAGACCATAGATTCAATTAGACAAGTGATTGGTCAGACGATACTTCAAGTGAAAGGCGGAAACACAGAGCCAAAGCCGAGTTCTCAAGAATCACCAACGGGATTTCTCTTTGGGGTTTTCAAGTCGAGATCTTTCGTCAATTTCGGGTTGATCAGGTCTTAAAGTCTTGAAGGAAGAAGTGTTCCTCTTATCTGTAAATGACACTAGTACATTGTGTGAATATGTAGAAGTTGTTTTTAGAATTTTACAGGGCTTTATATTAGATTCTTGTGTAGAATTTGGATTTTACATTTGTGGATGTATATAAAATTGATTTTTTCTTGATTTCTTGTGGCCAATCACTTTCCATCATCGCTGTTTTGGTAAATCTCATAAGATTTCCTTTTGACTGGCTCTGTTGACACATACACATCTTTCTCAGAAGGCGATAGATTTTTTTTGGGACTGCTCAAAATTATAATCTTTTGAAAACCAAAATTAATAATCGACAGCATATTATAAAAACTTTTGGCCAAAAGTCAAAACGAAAAGTGGTTCATGATCTTTGTTGATTGGTGTGCCACATCTTCGACCATGACATCTGCCACGTGTCACTCGTAGTATCCATAACTTTCT